TCCTATCCAAAACATAATGTTAGAAGAGAATTGGTGAAGTGTTGGTAGGCATGGGGTGAAATTATACATTTGTATAGGTTTAAATCTAAGCTTCCAAAGATACAATGATGTAAACCTATTTTACCTCAATAAACAAAATTTGAAAATAGCAAGTAAATATATTATTCACTGCTGAAAAATACATAAAGAATGCATGTAATTCAATTATAAGAAAACTCCATTTTCAGAGGATCTGAAAAGATATTTTCTCAAAGACATACAGATAGCCAACAAGTACATGAAAAGATGTTCAACATCACTAATTATCAGGGAAATGCTAATCAAAATAACCAAGACATATCACTTCACACCTGTCAAAATGGCTATTATAAGAAATACAAGAAATAAAAAGTGTTGGTAAGGATGTGGAGAAAAGGGAACCCTTGTGTACTGTTGGTGGGTGTTTAAATTGGTACAGTCACATGGAAAAGAATATGGCAGTTCCTCAAAAATTCTAGCAAATGTCTATGATTATACCCTTAGGAGTCCCAAAACAGAACCACAATCTCTACATTATAATGCGCCTTAATAGAACTCAGCACCTACATTTTATTTTTCCATTTCTGGATATTTGTCTGAAGGAAATGAAAAAAACTAACTTAAAATATACATACATCCCTATGTTAACTGCATGCTAATTGCACATTATCTAACTTGAAACATATATGCATCCCGATGTTAACTTCATAGTTAACTGCATGATAAGGAACTAACATTAATAATAGGATTTAAAAGCGACCAAAAAAATTATAAAACTTTTCCCCAAAAGGTTTATGCTTAATTTGTACTTGCAGTTGGGTTGGTAATATTTTTACATTTACCTGAAAAACTTAAGCTTTTAATAGTCAGTAGAAAATAATTTAGTTTTAGTTTTCAAATACAATTACATATTTATCAATAACTTCAGGCAAGTTAATCGCTTTATGCCTAATTAGAAAACTGCAGATATTTGCCTTCACTTTTCCAGAATTTCTGTAGAGAATTTTAGGTGTGAAGATCCAGTTGAAAGGGAAAATCAGGGATCTTGTCTTGAAGTTGTGTTTTCACAATAAGGAAAGTGCTTTGACCTGTGGCGTAGCTCATTTGCTATAGCTTCAAAGGAGGCTGATGGATATTATTGGGGATTACACTTTGAGTTACACTTTTGAGTCCTTACACATAGAGGTACAAGTGTCCACTCCACAAAGTGGCCAGTATTACACTGGAAAATGAAGGAAGAATGCCCAGCATACAGTAAGTGTTTTACAATATTAATGCCTGTTCCTATGTATAGACAAGACCAATATTCTTACTTAGAGCCACACAGAATGTAAAGTTTCTTTAAAATTAATAATTTTCATTTAGATAACCTGCTCATTGTCAAAACTTTTACTATTGGAATAGATTTTTCCAATACTACATAAGCAATCTTTAGCTATAGTGGATAATGTAGAAATAGCTTTATGGGTTTGTGTTGTTCAAAACAACAGCTTGCTTTGCTTTCTGATGTTCTATATTTCACTATTTCTCCAGGGAAAATAAATAAAAACTTCTGATTAGATTCTAGAGTCATATTCTTCCCATGTCTTTGCAGAAATAAAGCATTTACATGACTAGCCAAAAGACAGGCAAAGTGCATTGGTGAAGGAAATTCTATAGAGACTACACCTGAGGGAGTGGGGGAAGCAAATATTGTTTAAAATGAACAATGATGTAAAAAATAAAAAAAATTTAAAAGAATAAACACCAAACCAAATGATTGTTTTCATGAATATTTATGAGCTGCTTATAATGACAATAGGTTCCTATTAATACTAACCAAAAACATGTGTTAAACTTAAGGATTTGCATAAGATATTCATGATAGTCATTTATACTTTCAGTTTTTAATCACTGTTCTATGATTATACCCTTAGAATTCCCAAAATAGAAGCACAATCTCTACATTAGAATGTGCCTTAATAGAACTCAGCACCTACATTTTATTTTTCCTAAAATCAATGGCCTTCACATTTATCCTACTATTAAGTGGAGAAAGAGGGCGAGTATGCATCATTCAACACACAAATTGAGTGCCTACTAGTTGCCAGGTGTCATGCTAAGTATAGAGAACACTGGCTTCCAAAGTGGCCCTGCCCTGGTCACTCTCCATCAACAGCGCAATTTCCACAGCACAGGTGCTAAAGGAGAAAGATACAGAGCACTTTGGAAGGAAAGGATGGGGGAACATGGCAGCCTAAACATGTCAGGAGCCATTTCACAAAGAAATGTTTCTTCATGCTATCCTTCTGAAGCACTGCCAGGCAGAAGAGATAATTGACGAGGAGTTGGGAAGGAGAAAGAAGCAGGGACATAATGGACTAGAACAAATATGGTCACCAGAGATGCTGTTTTCTGCCTTCTAACCTGAGAAAATTTTATAATTTTTACATGATTCTGACAGAAACTTTTGTTTTCTGAAAAGTGGGGGAGCATGGATTTTGTCTCTCCCTCTTCTCAGGCACTAATATTTACTGAATGGTATATGCCATATATTTTACATGTATGATTTCATCTAAGAGTTTGAATGCAAAACAACCCTCTAAGGTAGGTAATGTTATTTTCACTTAACAGAAATGGAAACAAGCTCAGCATAGGTAAGAATTTTGCCCATATCTGTCTGACTCTTTCACCCTGTAACCTCTGGAGAAATGTTTTCTAAGAATTTAATTAGAGCTGCAATAGGAAAAGCATGAATATCTGCAAACTTAACTTCATGAGTACTTACTATATGTTATACCTCAATTTAAAAAAATGGTTTTATGCTGGCTAATATGTAGATAATATTTGAAGCATTTCCATGTACTATTTAATCTTGACAACATTTTTGGGAGGTAAGTACAATTTGCACTACAATTTATCATAACTGAGGCACAAAGAAGCCAGGTAAGTTGCCTATAGACACAGTGGCAGGATTCAAATATAAGAAGTCTGACTCCAGTGCCCCTGTGCTTCAGCACTCCGCATTCCACCTTTTAACTCAGACCAAATCCTAACTTTAGACCACCAGCAAAGACCCTGCTGGGAAAGATATCCCAGGCAGAAGGCACAAAGTGGTGAAGAGATCTTATGTCCCCAAATAATAGTGACAAGAAAGAACTTAGTGTGGCTTAAGAATTAGGTCTTGATTGATGAGGGGATGGGAAGACAGTAGGAGGAGGGACTGAAGCAGAAGAGATAGCTCTTTTTCCTTAACACTATGCAGATGAAAGATTCTCAATTATCATTTTGTTTGTTTATTTAGTAGAAAATTTCAGTGCAAGGAAAATATTTTCAAATATAATAAACAGAGAGATGCATAATAGTATCACACTGCATATACATATGGACCAGTTCACTGGCATAGTTGCCCAAACATTTTCTACTTGAGTCTCCAAGAACTATTTTATTGTATCTCATGTATCTTGATGAATGAGACTTTCAATAATTACTTAAAAAGAATTTGATTTCACCATTCTTTAGATTTTTGCACACTCTATGCAGATAAATGTAATATATTTAAAAAAAATTATTTAGTGGTTTTTTTTTAACTGATCAACTCCAAAATTTAAAAGAAGCAAATATTATCTGATCTAGATGTATTCTAATCAACCACCAGATGGCATAAAGTGTGAGAGTTTTATTCTGACAGGGTCACCACACACATGACAATTTGACCTGTAACTTCAAAATCATGTATTTGGGGAAATGTCCTAGCACTCAAACAGCTCACGATTATTTCAGCCACATGTAGAAGTGAATGGAGAAGTTGAAAATGACATGGCACCCTCTACTTTTTCTAAATTTGGGGACTGGGATGCTGGTAGTACATAATGAATGAATAATCAAACATGTAAAACAAAACATTTTTGTTAAAGTAAAAAAAGGAAGTCATGTCAAAGAAAAATTAACCTTATATTCTCAGTAGATTTAATTACAAACAAAACTTGAATTGTGCCTTCAAGGGAAAAAAATATGCTTGTACTCTTTAAAATTCTGCTTAATAAAAAACTTTTCTACTGCCTATAATTCATTGTAAAAGCAGAAAAGTAGAGCATCTCTCTATTTTGGCTTAAAGTTGATGTAGAAGTCAACAGACATTCATCTGAAAAAAACAATCTGAACTATGATACTAAAAGGTAGGAAAGAATATTTTAAGAACCTTGATTTTTAACCAAATTGAAAACACAGAACATTTTTTATTTAACAGAATATTCATGCAGAAAAGAAGACATTTTGCCAACAAGTCAAAGAGCTAAAAAAATGAGATAAATGCCAAATGTAGGAACATCAATTTCCTTCTGTGGTGGCATATTCACTGAGAACTAAAAATACACATGCTAGAATAAATAACTACTGCAACCTGGCCAATGCCACAGGACTGAGGTGATCTTTGCTCTAGCAGGATCAAGCAGCAGAAAAACTGCCTTTAGGAGTAAAGACACCTTGACTGTAATGTAATGTAATATGGTCTAAGATTCAAGGATTTCTAAGATGCTGCAATAATTTATTTTTGCATTTTATTATATGTTTTCTCAAGAGGTTGAAAATATTTGGTTCCAAGTGAAAAGTCTGTGGAAGAAGAAAAGATATTTGGAACTACAAGAAAGATAAAAAGTTAACTGGGGATATATATACACAGCCCTCTTCTCCCATTTGTAAGCCATATGTGGATAAGGATAATGGGGGTGGGAATAAGAGAATTAATGAGGAAAGTTTTGTGAGATTTCTTCCTTGGGACTTATGCCTTGTCTTCATTTTTGGAAGTCAATATGTAGCAAACATATTTTTTTACCTGGAGTCATATTAAAGGGAAAAAAATGACACTTCATATTCTTATGTTTAGAAAAAGACATTAAGTTGTTGTTTCCAAAGGGTTTCTTCTGGTGGTCCAATTAGATAGTAGAAAACAGAATGATAGATAATTCAAGTTAGGATAATATAGTGAAGATGCAACTACTTACTTAAAATTCCATTCTTTAGCACATGTTTTCTCATGTTTTTTCAATTTAAAATATTCTTCAATGAAACTTGGATCTTTAAGCACTGAAATTAGAGTATTTTTTAAAAAGGGGCTGTGCATACATTCTTTAAAAGTAGTTTAAAGTTGAAAATAATTCACTTCTCATTAAGTTTATATGTGGTAATACTATGCACTATATAGTTCCAATCATCATAATATTCACACTTTCCAAATTTTTCTTTTGTTTGAACTTTGTATTACTGGATATTATTTGAAATAAATAGTGACTTTGAAACTTTTAATTATAATGATATTTGTTCATATATATTATTTGTAATAATGAAGAATGTGTTACACTAACTACAGGCAGCACAGTTTAATAAAATCCTAGTTCAGCACTTCAAATGGAAAATAAAATCTTGGAGCTGGAAGTGAAAGATCTTGATCTTTCACAAAACAAGATGCTCAAAATAGATGATCAGCATTTAAACGAATCTCTTGCTGAAGACAGAAAACTTTCCTCTTTGTTGTTGGGAGGCTGCCAGTTCCACTGATAGACAGTAAATTCACACTATCCTTCCTAATTTGAGTACTAAGTTTCCACAGGTTCTAGATGACCTCTGGAGCAATATTGAGTAAGTTCATCTCTCCCCCATGAGAGAGAGTCCTCTAATATTTGAAGACAGGACAGCTTCAGTCTTCAGCTTTTTCTCAAGACATGATTTTTTAAAATCCTAACTATCCTCACCATATTGGCATTGAGCTATGTTGATGTTGCCATTAAAGAGTGCATATAGAAGTAGCTCAGGATTTTGATTTTGTTAGAATAGTAAAGATTATTAACAGTGGGATTATTAACTCCCTGGATCTATGTTTAGATCCTCCATTATCTATCAATTCAGCTTGGATCTGCACTAGTATTTTCTGGAAATCACATTATGTCACTGGTTCATATGTTTGTAGTTAATTATAAGCCTTATGCCTTCCATCAAATTCACATAAAATTTATTGCAGATCTACTATGCTTAAGATATTGGTAGTTTTCACATGAAATACTATTATGTTATATACATACATATACACTATTCTTTATATCCATCCATCCATCCATCCATCCATCCATCCATCCATCCATCCATCCATCCTCTACCTGTCCTCTATAATTACCCTGGGTTTAGAGTCTTGAACAATTTAACCAACTGCTCTTTAACAGTCTTGCCCTTATCTGGAGCTTCTTGCTTAACAATAATTAATTAACCTCTTCTAACTTGATGAAATTTGTCATTTAAAGAAAAATTTTTAAATGAATTGCTCTCCATTTCTTCTATTAATATTACATGTCTTTCACTAACAATATTCCTATACTTTATTTCTTCAAATATACATGAACACACATACATACAAACATACATACATACTCTTATAGACTTTATTAATGTAGTTTTTTTAATTGGTATATGGTTATACATTCCTCCCTTGCATTAAGGGGAGTAAAACTGAGCTTCCCAGAGTTCTTAGTGAGGTCTCATTATTTCCTTTAGGTGATAAAATGACTAATACCAATAGAGTTTTCTTACTATATATTGGGAACTTGTAAAGGTACTTGTAAAGTAGGCATACAGTAGTTAACATTATAACACCCAATTTACAGATGAACAAATAGAAGGTTGAGTAATGTGTTCTCAATGGGACTACGCTACTACCTAGACAAAATTTACAATTTATTTGAAGTTTCTATTCAAGAATAATTGATTGATATCACTCATTTTTTTAAAAATCACCTTTCCTACATTTTCTGTTTGATATATATATGACAGTACCCTTCTTATATGTTATGAAACCCCAAATGGCATGGCCATCTTTCCTAAATATTCCCATCAATTTTGTTTCATTCATTCATTGCTTTTTCTAGTGAGAGATGAAAAATGCCATACTATTTGTACAAACTTTTAACACTTCCTATTTATTCTCTGTGTTTTTTTCACTCATCTGTCTCTTACCAGCTGACTAGCCTACTGTCTAGACATAGACTCTCAGAGATATTGATTGGAGGAAAATAATGATGGAATGAGGGGTGAGGAAAAAAGAAGAGTGAATTTTTGTCAGAAGTACTTAAAGTTGAAATTTCCCCACTATAACCATATCTTTTCTTTGTGACTGTATCTGCAGTAGAAAAGCATCATCTATTGTCTCTATAATATAGTTCTTCCTTCTCAGAATTACTGAGTATAACTTTTGCTTTGTTTTTTTTCTATGGCACACCTCTTGCTCAATATTTGTATAGGCTGTTCTAAAATGTTTTCCCCATGGCTGAGACTGTCACAATCAAAGAAATATAATAGTACACACGCACCTTAACATGTTTTATTTTCATACATGCTATCTCATGCTAACCAAAGGGGAACAAAAGTAGAATGGATGTTTTTGGTCAATGAGTAGAAATGAAAAATGAGGTACAAAGTTAGATGACTAACCTAAATTCATTTAACTGTATGTGGTAAAACTAGTACAGCATTATGGAATCTCTAACTTCTGTCACCATATTCTTCCCACTAGAGCCTTTCCAACCTTGGTTGCACATTGTAACCACACAGGAGGCCTTAAAAACAACTGCTGCCTGGTCTTGCTCCCAGAGATTCTGATGTAATTGTTCTGGGGATGTGCCCTTGACACGGGAATCTTTATAAGTTCCTCTGGTGGCTTGAATGAATAGAATTAGACAAACAGACAATATTGCCTGCTTATCTTGGACAACTTGCCCTACCTGCAGCTCAAAGACTCAAAGAATGAAAGTTTCTTGGGGTAAAGCAAGCCTCTCCATGATGTTACAGGCTATTTGGTCTGTCTTGATGATAGCAAACAAACATCAGGAAGCCTCTACTTGTTATTACAGGGTACACCGGTCTAAAGGGATTCTTTTCCTTGAACACAAACATTTCCTTATGGGGATCATATTCTGTCATTAAGGTGCTATTGCCCACAACAATATGTATTGGTTTGTTGTCTGCCAAACTTTTTATTTGCCATTCTATAGAAATGGATAGTGGATCAGCAGTACATTTCCCCATATAGTTGACTATAATTACGAATTGGTAATTATAATTATTGAAAAATATACTGCATATACTGCAGAATTTGAATCTAAGCCTCAAACTATACAGAGATAACAATTTTATCTTACATTACAGAGGCAGTATAGAAAGACAGAAATGAGAGAAAGAGCAACAATTGTGGAATCAGAGGATGTGGTTCAAGTCCTTGGACCACAGCCTACTTGTATTAATTAATTATAGTCAGAGTTATTGATCATTCACTATGTGCTAGGCACTGTTGTAGTTTTTCAACCCTATAAGATATATACTGTGATTATACTCATTTTACAGATAAAGGAACAGGGACACAAAAATATTAAGAAATTTACCCAAGGTCACACACCAGTAAATAACAGAGCCAGGATTAAAACTTGGTTATCTGGTTCCACAATTATATATTTATCAATATATGATGTTACCTCTTACATGTACAAGTGGTTAGGAAAATTACTTAGCCACTCTTGGTCTTGATTTTCTCATTTATAAAACAGAGTATATTAAGAATGTCTAGTTCACTGAGTTGATATACCACTATGTATGACATACATTAGGTGTTAAATAAATATGGGTTGATGAATAAGAGAAAAATAAGGTTGTAGTGACTAGAAAACATAATGCAGATTATAAATAATAAACCTACTATTACTATGACATAACTGACTACATGTAATTTGTGGCACAATAATATGTAAAAGAGTTAATATTCAGAACCAAAATACAACCACTCATTACCATTTGTAAAGTAAAAAGCTTATAAAATATGCACAGAATTTAATCATCTTTCCAGTATAAGAATGTAACTGTAGAAAATGAAGTTGTTAGTTTTTTCCCTTTTATTTCTGTTAGTTGAAGAAGCATTCTACAATCTAAAAGCTGCTTTATTATTACCAGAAAATTGGGGTATTAAAAAAGATAGTACTGTATCTCATTCAGCTGAACTATCCAAAGACAAAATAGCCAGCACCATATGTAAGGTTAACATTTGATTCTTAAAAATCAAGTATTGATTATTACTGAAGGAAAGCTCTTGAACACCCTTATAACAAATCCCCAGGGAAGAGGAGGCAGGGTGACTGAAATCTTGCACCAAGGGCTAGAATCAAAGTCTCAAATTCTTTTGGGCTAGAGGTAAACATTACCAGCTTATTGCCTTCACAAAGAGGGATGAATTACATACCAAGTTAGGGACAGATGTAGAAGCAAGAACAAAATTAAACATTTTGGTGTCAAACTCTTTTGAAGAAGAAACAGCAGTCAGCAGTGTTTCATTATTTCGTTTCATTTTAAAATTCTTTATAGCAAGACAAGAATTTCCAAATTTTCTTAAATATTGGCACGTGCTTCCATTATATTTTTCTCTTGCAGTTTGAAGTTTCTAAGTGCTTCTCTATCTTTAAATGTTATTCCATAAGGCACCATCCTATCATGATCCTTTTCTTTTTTGGTTGAACAAGTTTGACACTCAGACTTTCCCTGGTGTGTGCCAATTGTCTTGACACCATGCTAAGGGTTATCACCTCCTGGAACCCCTCTGAGTCATCAGTGCCTCATACATAGTATATACCCAAAATATGTGTTGCTGAATTGACTAGGCAACAACCAACCACAAATCTTTGATGCGAAGTAAACATTCATGTACTTTCCTATCAATAATAATAAAATTATTCCTACTGATAGAGCTGCTAAGAACTATGTTTCTTAAAGCACCTAAAACAAATTACTGGTTTTCACCATTAATCTGAGTCCACGATGTAGGTAATATGTATCATAAAATAATAACCAACATCCTGAAACAACATGTAACTTTTTAGGAGTTTTTGGTCTAACTCACTTTTTTATACCTCTGAAGCTTTACACTACCTTGTACTCTCATTTGTGCCTTCAAGCTAGGAATATTTTTGTGACATTTTGTTCTATTGAAACCAATCATGAAGCAATCACAATGATGAGATGAAATTTGATTGGACCACAAATTAAGGGTATGGTCATGGTGGATAGACTAGAGAGGAAGAATTCACAATGTTGTAGCAGGTAAAATCAACAAAAACTCAACAAGATTTACCAAGGGAGATAAAGAGGTCTAGGAAACTCCTGTGATTCTGATTTAGGCCATACATGCACTAAATGTGACCCACCACTAGGTTGGACTTAAAGGAGGGAAATAACAGAGGGAGGCTAGGTTTTAGGGCAAGATAACAAATTCACTTTGGGACATCTTAAGTATGAGATGCCCACACCGCCTTTAGGTGAGGTGTCCAATATACAGTTATAAATACCCATGCAAAATTTTGAAGAGGGCTTGCCTATAGATAAGGTTTTAGGAATTACTGGCAGATAATGAAAACCATGGTGTGGGTGAGGTTGCTTGAGACTGGGTAGACATGACTATATGAAGACGTTTTTGCTATGGTAAGCAGTAGAGGAGACCTTAGGGAGGAGGAGGAAAACAATGAATGCATGGTGTCCTCGCACTTAAGGGCATAGCTGATGAAAGTGCAGGTAAAATAAAGACTAAAATATAATCCCTGAGTCTGGGAATTAAGAGGTCACTAGTGACATCAGTATGTACCATTTCAGGAGAAGCACTAAAGCAAAGTCATATTTCAGTAAATGCGCATTAAACTGGATAACCTACTTAGAGCCAAATAATGAATTAATGCTCTAAGGTTTGAATAATTGGAACCAGAAAGTTACCCAGCTCTCCCACTATCCCAGTCTTTTTTTTTTTTAGTTCTTAATATATAATGGTAACAAATGATTTTTCCTTAGACTGATAAAATTTAAAGTCCAGGGTTCATATATTTCCCTGCTGTCTTTTTACTTACTACATTCTCTGGATTTGAGGATAATTGTGTTTGGAATAAAAAAAAAATCTCCTCCTGCTATGAAGGTTTCTTTCTGGGGTAGAGAAAGTAATACAAACCTCATAACATTCTGTTTTTTAACCAGACTTAAGTCCAGGGCTCCACACAAAAGAGGATCTAAATGAACGGTTGTTGAATGATTACCATATTGTGCCAACAGAGAAGTTTATCACCCTCAAGTGACAAATATGTGTCGATTAGTCTTTGAAAGCAAGACAAGCTGAGAAAATTAAGAGATTAATATATGACCAGAAGGAAATAGGAGAAGGCTTGATCAACTCACGTGCAGTTCTGTGATATCCTGTGGCTTTTGACGTGGCTATTTCACACCATGACTTATAGTAATCATAAAATGAGATTGTTTTAGTTGATCTGAAAATATAAATTAAAATCCGACAATGAGTAGTTTGCTTTTTAAAATTACTTTATCAGTGGGATTGTTTCAAATAACAATAACATATCATGAGAAAGCAGACTGATCTATAAATTCTAACATATGAATCTAGCATATTAATTTCTCTACTAATGTATGCAACTCATAAAAAGGTGCCCAAACCATCTTTCAAAAGTGTAAGATATCTGCTTTATATAAGTAACATTATAAAAGGATATTAAATTAAAGCATTATGCTCCTAAATTTTCTTTCTAGAATATACAAGTTCCTTAAATTTCTATGCCAAATTTAGTAAAATATCACCTTTATTTCTTTTTTACTATGAGGAGAAATACACCACCAAGGATTGAGGTTATTATTTTACTTTTACAGAATAGGGTCATTTTTAGAGAAAAAGACAACTCATTTCTAATATTGCTGCCTGCATCTTTCTTTTCTTATGCTAATAGTACTATATGCTAACAGGAGAGCAAAGATTGTTATAAAATATTATACAGAAACTATGAAATTTCTCTTAGCTGCATTTCAAATTTTTTTTCTACAAACTTTTTGAACACAGAGATTCTCAACACTTTGTGAACAAAATATTACTTTGGGATATTTTTCAGACATGAGAAATCACCAATTAGCTAGCTTAAAAGATGCTTAAACATTATATGTAAAAGATGTTATGTCTGTTTGCCAGTATAAATTCCTAGCTCTTAGGAGAACGAAGCAACTTTTCAGTGAGAACAAAAGCCAATTATTTTTATAAGTAAATCATAAGTACCTTAAAGTAAATATTTGACTCAATTTTGAAATTAATGGGGCAACATCTACAAGTGTTAATACATTCATTTATTGAAATGATAACTACAGACACCCAGTTTTAAGACTAACATTTTTCAAACATGTTATTACTTTTGCAGTCACACTTAAGTAGAAATCTGAAACTTGGTGAAGATAAATTAATCACTTCTATTATTGCTTCCAGAGCTCCATGTAGTGCTTTCCACTACTAAATGATATACTAAACTAATATTAATTTGCCAATGAAATGTTTCGGCATTTGGCAATGGAGGCAACAAATGAAAGGCTGCATTATATCTCTTGCATGAAAAAGCTTGTGATCAATTTGCTGTCACAGATCATTTAGCAGACAACAATGACCCAAGAGGAAGGAAACTGTCAACACACTGTCTCGTGAAAAAAAAATACACCATCTTCAGGCACAATCGTCTTCATTGTTTTTCGCCCGTTGACGATGACCCATGACCCTCTCCCTTCCCAGTGGTGTCCTGTTCTGTTTCAAACTGTTAGCCCTCGGGGCCTTCTTTTTTTTCCTCCAGAATAATTAAAAATATTTTCCTAAAAGGTATAACTTTAGTATAGTTTCAATATACAAGCAGACTGTCTGAAATATTTGGGAATATTGGCATTTTCAATTGTATAAAAACAGCCACCCTTTAAAATAATAAACACCTATTTCACCATTGTTCAGATAAATTACTGTTTACAAAGCCACATAAAGTTCAAGATTCATGTGTTCACAGTTTCAGCCTACAGCTGGAATTTAGTGTTATCATTAGTATTGTGAATATGAGAAAGCAGAAGATATAATTTAAAACTGGACATCAGTGCTTACTATTGTGTTGGGAAAAAAAGATATAAACCTGAACTGCACATAGAATAGCTTTATATATTATAATAATAAAGGATTACATCATTTAACACAGACATTTGGAGTCTAAAGATACTTCTTTGTGGCAGTAAGAGAAAAAAGAAATAAAAAGGCTGCAGGAGGGAGATATGATTTTATTTTGAACTTAGTGGGGAAGGAGTCAGTTGGGGTAGAGGCCTGAAACAAGGAAAGAGGCCCTCTTGGCTAGGGGAGCATCTTCCTAAGGCTCAGATGAGAAGGGTATGGTATGTGCATATGTGCAAACAAAGGATGTTGGGGAAGAGATGACAGTAACGAGATACTGACCAGAGTGGAGGGTTCCAATTTCAGAGGAGTTGAAATTTAAAAAAAATAAGTGAAACTGGGCAATGCAGGGCTTTCAGATGTCGGCAGAGAATGGGTGTGAGTCACTTAAGAAATCTGACTGATTAGGTGAGAGAAAGAGCAGTCAGAAGTTCTCGAATAAGGCAATTGTGAAATCAGTGTTTGGGTAAAAGTTGTTTCTGGTATTAGTATGCAGGATAGATTACATGAAAGATTAAATGCAGGTGGACCGATCAGGAAATGCATACAGTCATTTAGGCAGGAGATACTGAGAGTTATGCTAAGGTGGCAGCAAATACTCTGAAGGGGAGATGAATCTGAGGCACTCTAAGAACTAACTGGACTAGTTGTTTAATAGGGTGTGGAAGGTGAAGAATCTAAGGGTCAAATATTCTTCAAAAGCCCAGAGGATCAGTTAGTTTTGCTATTAATAGAAAGCATCTAGAGAAACTGAAGTAAAATATGAGTTTAATTTTAAATGTGGCTTTTAGGTGATGACCTTTAGGAGTGTGATTGTGAAACTGGGACTGGAAATATGAGATATGGGTCAAATCAACATAAAGGTTGATGATAGATAATGCCATGAAAGCAAACTCTAAAAGTGTAAGTAAATGTTTTAAAAAGAGTAGAAATCAATTCATAGCTAAAAGGAGCCAGTAAAGGAAATAGAAAAGATTATTAAGGAAATGATGCAACATCCCAGCCATCACCAAAGCCTCAGGACTAAATCTCCAAATGTCTCTGGAGAAGAACTGGGTGCAGGGGGTGAGAGGATTCATCAGAGACAGAGTGGGGAGCAGGACAGGCAGATCTACTGAAATACACTGCTGAGGGGAGCAACGGGCAAGACAGGAGAGGTCTGTTGAGCCATATGGGGGTTAGCTCTCTGGCCAGGGATTGAACTCCGGCTGTAGTGGTGATAGTGCTGAAACTTAACCCCTAGGCCACCATGGAGGCCCAGAGACAGAACTTTCTGAAGTAATTGTGACCATTCAATGATATCAAACATGAAAGTTCTAGGTAGGGAGAGTAGCACTCTTCAGCACTGAGTGTCAGCTGATCTCATCAATGACCTTAGCTAAGTATTGCATCATTTCTCTCCTGAAAACTCAAAACAGTTTCCTAGTTATTTTTCTACCTCAGTCTCTTCCTATTCTAAGTCATCATTGCACTGCTTGAAAACCAACATCAGTTATCTAGTTCTGTAGGATTAATTGCCTTCAAATAAGTTCCCTATCATCTAGCCATTTCCATTCTTTTCTTCCACCATTCATTTGCACATTCAGAGGGCCCATCAAATGTAGCTTCCTGGTGATCATGAGTGTATCATAATGTAATATTACTGTATCCGTGAAAGCAGTTCCATTAAAGATTATTTTGTCTATGTGCCTATTAAACTCTTACTCATCAAAGTTCTGTCCAATAACTATTATGAACATTTGTAAGCAAGTCTTTTTGTGAAAATGTATTTTTATTCCTCTTAGGCAAATGTGGAAGAGAGAAGTATAAGGCAGGTGAATGTTGGATGTTAAAAACATGGATAAACAGGGTCTCCCTGGTGGTGTAAGGGGTTAAGACTCAACCTATGAAGCTGTCCGCAGCCTCTGCAGCACAAGTTCCATCCCCGGCCAGGGAGCTACCCACATGGCACAGCAGACCCCTCCTGACTTGCCTGCTGCTCCCCTCAGCAGTGTTTCAGTAGATCTTCCTGTTCTGCTCCCCACTCTGTCTCTGGTGAATCCTCTCACCCTCTCGAGCATCTGGCCTGTACCCCAGTTCTTGTGTGAATAAATAAATCTTTTTTTAAAAAACATGGCTAGACAATATTCCAAACTGGTTGTGGGTATGTCAAATGGTACAACAATGTGTGCAGTGATGTAAGAGTTCCAGTGAGTTCAAACCCTTGCCAACAAATAGGATTGTTATTTTTAGTTTCTATTGTGCTCTTCCAGTCTCCCATCTCAGTGAATGAAAGCAAAACCCTTCCAGTTCAACTGAAAATCTAGTGATAGACCTATATTTGTCAAACCCACATCCAATCAAATAAAACCTAGAATTCATTGACTTTGCCTTCTCTTCTCCCTTTTCCACAGTTATGCCCTCAACCTTCACCTGAACCACCACCATCTCTCCCATGCTCTACTAAAATAACCTCATTCTTCTGGCTTTCATCTTAGTTCCTTCCCAAAGCATCCCCCCACACAGCAATTAGAGTAGTCCTTTACAAATGTAATATTTTTTAACTTTTAATTTTAAGCAATTCTATGACAAACATTCTCATAGTCTATATTTATGCACTTGTCCGAGTATATCCTTAAAGATAAATTTCTAGAAGTGGAATTGCTATGTCCAAGTAGGCCTTGCGTTAGCACTTTTAAAGTGTAAGGCAAATGTTATGCTATTTTCTGTCTATAACCCTCAAGTTTTGCCTTGCATCTGCCCCTTTAAATTATTTAATAACCCACCCCCACCACACATGCATATTTATTATTTGACCTTTTAGGTCTCTTTTCCTCTTCTCTGGATTATTTAGCAACCTTCTCCCGTTCTCCCTATTATTTAGCAACCTTCTCCCGTTCTCCCTCTGATTTTGTATCTCAGCTTCTGAGCCTCTTTAGTTGCCCTTGGCACTTGTGATTCATTTTCACTTTTTGTCCTGGGTGTCAAAATACCTTCCTTTGGGCCAGAACACAGGAAGTATGCCCCCTCAAACCTCCATACCTGGAATATGCTATTCCCTCTGCCTGGCACAACCTTCCCCCATTGTCTGCAGCTGAATTTCTATTCTGCCTTTAGAAAGTATCTCAGGCAACACTCCTCCTAAAATCTGAATGGCACTCCCACTCCCAAGATTTAGTAAGACATTTCTCTTTCTATGCTCTTCCAGCGTCTTGATCTTATCTTATATTGTAAGTATTATTGTAGTACAACAACTAACAGTAATAGCATCTCTCTTTAAATAATTTTGTAAGACCTCATTGTGGCTGCTCTATTTAAAAAATAAAACCTAGATATAACTTAACTTAATCCCATGACAACTATACCAGAGGCAAACATTAGAATTCATTAATAACAAATTACAGCCTAATATATACTAGGAAAATGGAATATCATTGAAATTTATATTTTATGGCTTCAACTGAGTCCTAGAGATTTCTCTAGAGATGTCAGACTAGCACTAGGTGAGTTCACAAAGCAGACCTGAGTTTTGCTTCATTTATGCTTGGTTTGGTTCAGAACCTACTGAAACTGGTACCATAAAAGTTCTTCTGGTCTGCCTTATTAGTAAACACGGGCATTGAAACTTTGTACACCACTAACAAAAATAACTTTTTAATATTCCAGGGACATTCATGTTTTACAAGTGATAAAACAGTGTTTATGCATATTCAAGAACTACCTCAGTCAATTTGTGCCAACTGCTTTTCTCCACATTGACAAATTGAAGGGTAGCAATGTCCTCTGTTGAATCCCAACTTAATGAGCTACTCATTAGATTAAGCTTACTTTCCTCAAATTTTCTAAAACTGTTTCACAAACTGAAACCATTTGAGTTACTAAATTTTATTCACATTTTATAGAGGACCAGTCAAGGAAACCTGGGCTGAACCACGCATTAATTCAACAATAGTTAATTGGCTGTTTACTACATGTGATGTATTATCAAAATAAGGTTGATGCAAATATTCAAGAAATTAAATGCTGTGGGATCATATATGCTATTATAGACTTCTACCTTGTTCAGGGGTTCAAGACTGAATTGATGCCATTCTACAAGACTGTCTCCAAAGTGCACCATGGCTTCAGCCCCACTTCTCACCACTTCCCTCCAGAACATTTACCTTCTTCTAAGTTGGTTGGATTTTTTTTGATCTCTAATCTATAATGCTGATAACTCATTTTTTCCATTTTCAACAACGAAAAGCAAAAATTAAAAGGGAAGGCAAGTGTATATAGTTATGCTCAAATTTAATTCAATAGCTTAGAGAGAATTCTCCATATTCTTCCTGAAAACATTTTAAAAAATACTGGAAAAGAAAAAGCTATCTACTTTCTTTTTAAAGTTAAAAAACTGAAAATTCAATTATGATAAAAATTGTAAGCAGTTTAAATCAATAGTGTTTTTAGAAAAAATATTGACATAGAATTGTATAAAGAAAAACTTACTTGATAATTTTATCTGGCTTTTTAGGTGTCTTAGGGCTTTCATCTTTCACTGTAAAGAAAAATGAATGGATTTTGGTTTAGTTGGAAGACTGAATATATGAACTTATGTGTACTCTTTACAAATCTTCAAAAATAGTAGTAAAGGAATAAAAATAAGATATAAAGTCTCAAGGAGAGTAAAAGAAAGATGGTGAGAAAAAAATTCAAGATGGGAAGCAGATGTCAAGTAGTAACTGTCTTAGCAAGCCACAGCAATTTGAGACCTAACTACATAATAGAGAAGCCAATAAAAAGCAAAGAGATTTACACTTCACAACTTGAGAAACAGTTTAGGAATAGGAGATACCAAATACCTTTGAAAGATGAGAGGTACAGCACAGATACCAAAGACATATGCCCTCATCCTGTGCAACCAGATGACCACCATTGCCCATGCTGCGGGGGGAAACTGAGCCAGACAGACCCAGCCCTGGAAGATACCTGGTACAAAACAGAAAAGAGTATGGGAAGGGATTGAAAGTAGGGAATTGATCAAATAATTCATATTCAATAGAAGATCCCTTACTCTCTCCCATTTACCAGCTCCCAGAATGTAAACAAGTGCTTTTCTTTCTCCAGGCACAAGGTAGAAGATTCATTTCAGGAGATATCATTAAGCTTAACTAAAGGTATGGCTAGGTCCTTACTGAAAAATCCTACAATGATACAAAACAATCCATCAAAAAGCCCACTTTATATTCAAAATTTCCATTTTTAATGTACTATGTATCATAAATACAAGATATGAATGGATAGTTAAAGATCACTACACCCTAATGTCAATATCTTGAAAGGCAACAACTAAATAAAACAGGCTGAAAAATTGCAATGGAAACACACTTTTCTGGAAATCTTCCAGAATAAAGAGCAAAATGAAGAGATGAATAATAGGAGAAAATAAATTTTAAAAATTTAGAGGATAAGATCAGTAGACCCCAAATATCCAAATATTTGTATATTTAAAAGAGAACAGGAAAATGGAGTGAAAAGAAATTATAAATCACTTAAGAAAATTTTCTAAATTTAAGGGATTACAGCTTGTAATTTCAAGTCTAGAAAATGCTGTATGCGATGAATGAGGAGGAGGGAAAATACAAAAACCACACCAAGAAATAATCAAGACATTTCAGATTCTTGGGGAAAAGACTTTAAAAGCTTCCAGAATGAAAATAAATCACATGTGAAGAAATGGACATCTGAATGAAATCAGACTTCTCAAGAACAGCACTAGAAACTAGAAAGTAATAGGGTCTTTACAATTCTGAAAGAAAATTGTTTCCAACTAAAATTTAACCAAATTATGAACAGGTGACTGTGGAATAAATACACTCTTAGGGCCTTAGAGTCATAAAAGACTTAGCTTTCATAAACCAGGAAGCTCCTGGAAGCTATCTCCAGCAAAATGAAGGAGCACGCCAACCAAGAGGAAAAATGAGGGGTCAAGCAGGAGCTCCAATCCCAGAAGTAGGCATAAGAGCCTTCCCAGAATTCTAGGAGAGAACTGCCACTTCAGAACCAAAGAGGATGAGGACCACAAGAAAGAAGTCTCCACAGTGGGAAATGTACTGGCTGAAAACCTGAGGGTTATTTTAAGTGTTGCAGATAATTTAGGGACAGAATAGATGGTAGGAATTTATTTAAAAACAAACAAGAAAATGAAAAATATGACCATTTGCATAAGAAAAGAAAAATAATGTTAATGGTTCATATGTGATGAGAATTTACTAAGTCATATTAATGTAACCAAACTTTATTAGGAGGAAGTATGGTTGAAATGGCAGTATGAAAGCTAGATATTTGTACTTCAGAAGAAGCCTGTAAGTAATTTCTTACTGAAAACTCCCAAAATGTTAATATAGAATAAACTTAGAATTCTGGTGGTAAATTCCAAAAGAACCAGTCAGATGTGTTGACAGCTGTTAGTGTTTTTGGGGGTGGGAGGTACTCAGGTCTAAGGTCTTATATCTCATTAATAACCAGCTTGTATTATTTATCTTTTAAAGTATGAACATACATTTCTTTGATAGGAAATATATACTTAACAATTTTAGTCAAAACATGCAATTTAGAGACTTTTCAAAAAGGTACTGGATTATCTGGTGCAATGAAATACAAACAGAAAAATAGGAGTTTGTAACCCCAGCTGATACACACACACACACACACACATACACACACTGCATCCTATTAAACTCAGGTTTTCCATATGTCCTGACATCTGCAGATAATAGGCTAACAGTAACAATACTGTAACATCAACAACAAAATTGCATTTAAGTGATGGTATGAAATCTCATGTTGTTAGCTTCTGCACAGTGAGAGAAGTCATCAGTAAAATATAAAGATCCCCAACTGAATGGGAGAAAATATTTGCACATTATACATCTGACAAGAGGCTGATATCCAAAAATCTTCAAGTAACTCAGATAACTCAACAAAAAGAAAACAAAGAACCCAATCAAAAATGGGAAAAAGAGCCCATAGACACTTCTCTAAAGAAGACATACAGATGGCTAACAGGCACATGAAAAAATGTTCATTGTGACTTATCAGGAAAATGCAAATCAAAACCACAATGAAATACCATTTCACCCTACTTATAAGTAAGGGGGAGAGGCTATAGGTCATAAGGAGAAGGAGCTACCAGGATATGGGAAGGTCACTGGGATCTTCACCAACTGGGTTTGAGCTCACAGCTTGGCACATTCTTGTCAAAAAACCTAGGTAAAGACCTAGCTGTTCAGGCTAGGTGTTAGGGAAAGGTTGGAGAATAAGAGGCATTTGCATGGTTGCATACCAAATATCAGGCTTAGACTGAAGATAGCTAGAGTAACTCCAGACCACTGATTGAGAGGAGGAAAAAGTCCCCAACATATTCAAGCTATGTTCTGGCACAAAGCAGGGCCAAATCTTCATATTCTGGACTTCACTGGCTACAACCTAGCAGACTACTTCAATATTAGTTCTACTTCAGGTGCATGGGGCAACAGAGAAGAAATATTCTTTTTCTACAAAAATTTCCTTTCAGTGTTTGAAGACAGATTTTACAATTGCCTTTATCTTTTCTACAATTAGCTAAAGATACACAGTTTCTTTAGCCACAGGAAATGTGATGTCCCAAACTGAGCATAATGGTTTTACAGATGAGGGCCCACTAAACCAGAGCAGGGTAAAGCACATGCTTAGTGGAGGAAAATTTTTCATTGTGGCTTACATTAACTTTGTGATCAAATCACTCCCCGAGAATGTTTTTGTAGATTAGATTTCTGCTATCACGTCAGGTCCCTTCCATTCTCTACTTGGGAATTTTAATTGCTTGATCCCAAGTGAATGACTTTATGTTCATCCCATAAAACATGGGGACACAGTGGAAGTGGGGATGCCTGGCAGAGACACTGATGCTGCTTGCTGTCTGTCATCTGTGCTACCCCCACCATCACTGATCCTGGCTTCCTCATGAGAAAGAGGCTGTGAGGATCAAATGAATAAATGTTCGTGAAAGTACTTTGTAAACTAAAAAGTGAAATCAATACCTACAGCCAAATACTATGCTGGGAACAGAGGATATAGTTCTACACTAAAATTAGTGTTACAAGCTCGCTACCCCTTGAGTTTCTAGTTTATACAATTATCAGTTCCAGTTTTCTGTTATCTAAAAATGTGATAAAACTCCTAAGCTTTTTCTAGTTCTCTTGGTTAATATTTTGCATGTATGTCAGAGACGATTCTTGTGGCATTTTAGTGGAGATCTTTTCAAGCTGTAACAAGAAATTAGTTCTCATAGGGTGACAAACTTAGAATGAGCAAATTGTACTTTTTCAGTTCTCACTCATGGCAGCAGTCTCTGTTGTATGGGGGTATGTTATTTTCTTAGAAAGCTTCAGAAAATCGTTCTAGGCTACCACTCCCAGTGCTGCTGAGATAGCAAGCAAGCTGATAACAATTTACTGTCTTGAATTTCCACATATTTCACTAACATAACTAAAGAATAGAGTGAAAACCAACCAAAGTACTATTTGCTTTGTTATTCATTTGCCAGGTGATTTTTGCAATTTGGGCAGCTTTCATGTCTGGTGATAGCAAAACTGAAGAAATGAAAGAGTGAGGGATGATGTCTACCTGACAAGAGGACAAAAGATAGGGTCAACTTCTCTTCAGTTTTCTTCTCATCCTTTCTTTGCACAGCAAAAACAAAACCTATTGCTTATAGAATTATTTACTATAGAAAATTCATTAAAACCAGCTTTTAAATTTTCATTCACCAGAATGTGGATATAGCTCTGTCATAACTTTGATTATAATTGTATAGTAGGGCTCCCTGAAAGATTAAGTGATATGTATTGTTCATCCTTTCATTCCACAAATGTTTACTAAGTGCAGAGGATAAAATAGTAGATGCTATAGTGTCCTGATAGGTCGGAAATGTGGTCAGAGTGAAGCAGTGTGGCTCCTCTGTATGCAAACCAGTCTCAAAACTGTCAGGGAATGTTTGAGGAACTTGAGGGCAATTGCAACGTGGTTGAAGACACTGAAAAAGATGCCTGACCACTGCCACTTCTTTTGTATCAGACCCTTAAGCCCTGTGGAAGAGAATCTTTGAACTTGGTCACAACTGTACAGATCTGGTACTAGAACTTGCAGGTTCTAGAAGAGGATTGGAAAAAGGAGACAATGGACAGCTCTTGAACGAGCAAGCACATGAGAGATCAGTTTGGTGGAGTGAGTCTGAATAACACTAGCCACTAGATGAGGCTGCTCTAAGAAAGAGAGGCAGGACGAGGAAGGAGGAGGTGGGGCAGGGTACAAAGAAAAGAACTCTGTCACTATGGGCACAGCCCTCATTTGTGACCAACTCATCTTGGCATAAGGGGCCAATGACCTTGTTCTGCAAACTGCACAGAGAACACAGGAGCAATGGTGCCATAGTTATGGAGTTAAGATGGCAGGATGAGAATAAGCATATCAAGGGTATCAGAAAAACACTTGTCAACAGAGCAGAAAGATTGACAAGTTTCAGGTGCCATTTCCACATGGACTCTTAGAAGGAATACCTGGGGGAGAACTCACCAGAAAAAAAAGAGTATTTTCTAAATTAAGAGGAAAGGAGTCCTGGATCAATAAGATCTAGGTAGTGCAGATAAAATCTGAGAAATAGCTACCATAGATCAAAGAGTTAAATTAGGTGTTATATCTTTATAATCAATATCATCTAGCCATATGATCATAACATTTAAAGATAATAAATTTATGATTTTTGATAATTTTTCAAAAAGGATCATACTGATTGGCTCGACAAGTTCAATAAGAGAGGTCTTAATATGACTGCATTATTGAAAATAGATACATAAAACATTCCCCTATATTAGCTGTTTGCTAGATAAATTAATTGCTATACATGTATAATTAATAACTTGCAAATAAGAAGCAGGTTCTTCTCACATTGTAATGGCTGTTGGAAAAGTTTCAGCACTATTAGTCTGTACTTAGATTCATCTTTAGTCAATATTTTGGCTGCTTCCAAATTCACTGGATTTTCTAGCACTGGATTAGAAAGCATAACCTACAGGAAAACACAAAGAACATAGAGTTTATGCTGTAAATTCTTTCTTTGAGCAAAAAGACAAACATTCAAGAAGTATTTATTAAATACCTACTATGTATCTAGCTAGAGATAGAGTCAAACAGATATGGCCCCTAGTTTCAAAAACTGTGGAAAAGTTTCCAAATTTATTAAAGGAAACATATTTCCTTAAATGTTAGTCAAACAAGAAATTTTCAACCTGAGTTATCTATACATCTTATTTTGGGGTGAAGATAAAGTGTGTTTGTGAAACCATGAATATTTTGTGTATTTAACTTTTTTTTCTGAAAAGGTCCATGTTTCATTCTTTCTTAAATGTATCTATCCTAACAGTTAAGAACCAGTGAGCCAAACCACATTTTTCAGTGTATATTATGGTAAGAGTTATTTATTAAAATGAAGGGTTTATAGTATAATGTTATTTTCATATAAAAATCATACTTACATTTAACTCAAACTCTGCTAATCGGTGACCTCAGTCATCCCAATGCCTATGGGATGCAAAAGTATTTGCTGGTTTTGATGTCAAATATACAGGATGTCAAGTGGGGGAAGATTGGGTGAAGATTGCATAGGCCCTTCCCATACATTTCTTTGCAACTTCCTATCAATCCATATTTAGTTTACCTTGAAATAAATATTTTTAAATTGTATTTTTTAAATTGATATCATAGTGGCTTACAACACTATGTATGAGTTAGGGGTGTAAGGGTCACCTCTTCTGATGTTTTATTATATCATACCTACTGCCAAAGTCCCAATAATCCTCTACCATAGTTCCTTAGATTCCTCCCTTTGTTTCCCAACCCCACTTCCCCCGACCGGTCCCCTCTGGTAGCCTCAATTCTAGAGTTAATTTTGTCTGTTCTTTTGTTTTGTTTCTTTCTATTCCACAGAGGAGTGAAATCATACAATATTTGTCTTCCTTCTTCTGACTTGTCTCAGCATAATCCCCTCCAGTTCCACCCATGTTGTTTCAAATGAGAAGATTTCTAATCCATCTTGGTTTTATACTGTACATTCATGAGCCAAACAATAGGATCAAAGTAATTTATAAGTTCCTTTTGTAACTTATTCCTTCCTATCACATGAATTTAAACTGAATTTATGTGTAAAGAGAACTAAACATGAGGAAACATCAGAACACTTCCCCTAAAAAATGAACACATTTTAACAGGAGATCAAATTTAGATCACAGATAAACCAACTCATATATTAAGGCTTGTGAACACTTCAAAATCCCTCCAGATCTATGAAAGATTAATTTGGTGTCTGCAGTAGTTTCCTATAGCTGCTGGAACAAATTACAGAATTTAGCAGCTTAAAACAACACAAGTGTGTTATCTCACATTTCTGCAGGTGGGAATTCTGGGGCGGTTGGGTTGGTTTCCTCTTTTCCAGATTTAGTAAGACTGAAATCACTGGCTGTACTTTGATCACAGGTTCTAAGAAAAGTCTGTTTCCACATTCATCCAGGCGTTTGTTAGCTGAATTCAGTCACTTGCATTTGTAGGAGTGAAAGCCCTATTTCTGTGCTGGCTGTTACCTAGGGGTCACCCTCAGAGAGACCACCCATTCAAGAACTCTCTTGCTTGTCCTTACACTTGGACTCATACATCTCAGAGGCAACAAAGGTGTGGAAACTCCTGCTCATACTTATCTTTCTGACCTCCCCTCCTGTCACATCCTTTTCTCCTTCCTTCTACTGTATTTCTCAGAGTGACTCCTCAGTCATCCCTTTGATCGTTAAGGGTTCATGTGATTACTTTTGGGCCACCATGCGCAGAATTAGCATAGCCTTCCTATTTTAAAGTCAGCTGACTAGTAGCCATAATTCCATTATCAAAATTCTTTCACAGCAGTGCTTGGGTTAGAGTTTGTTTGAATAACCAGAGGATGAGAATAATAGGAGGCAGTGGGGACATCTTTAAATTCTACCTACCATGTATCTTTGCATCTGGACAAAATAGGTGATAAATCATAACAAACTTAGTAGTTCTGCCAGACCATGATCTTGTTTATTTGGCACCTCAAAATTAATATTAGCCAAAATTTCAAATGTTTCTTTTATAATTCATTATGATTTTGAAGGTTATAACATACTAACCTGGCTGTATATTTCAAAATACAGCCAAAATAATACTGACCATAATTCCTAAGTGTAGACGCAGGTCAAAGTGGATAACTGTGTCTTCAGAGTCATGGAAATGATGGCAAGATTTTGCAATATTCTCATGTCTATTACTTGAAAAGCACAAGAATATTCTGTTGCTATTTGAATTTCTTGTTTAGAAAACACATTGGACAGTATTTCCAAGAATACTGAATTGCTCAAGTAAGGATTCAGTGGGGGCTGCACTAAATATTTCAAAGTTGGTGGAATGCAGATGAAACATCTTTAAGAGCAAGCTTTTAGTCTTTGGCTGGAGAGATACCCTTCCTCAGGCAGAGACATCTGGTGAAGTTTATTCAATAGTCTTTGCGTTAACTGTGCCAAAAAGCCTTCTCATATAAAATGTATACAAGCTATTAAGTTTACTTAATTATTCTTAAGAACTGGAATTGAAGAATATTTTTAAACACACACACACATATATATAAAACTCTGCTAAAATAGTAAAAAAATAAATGTCTGACATTTAAATTAGCCATGTGATAGGAAGAAACAACTCTAAAGGGATACTTCTCCAGTGGATAAACAGAAATTTTGAAGCATTAGTAAACAACTAAAACAGCAGGTATGTTTTATTATATCCAGTTAATTAAAGCCCATAAATTCAGAATTCATCCTTTGGATGGGTGTTAATATTTACCTTTGCAGTTGAGCAAGTGTTTGAAGAAATTAAGATTAGAAAAAATTTTGGAAGAGATGACTAGTATATTTAGACTTTAAAATATTTTAAACACCATTTTCAAGTGTCACCCTTCGAAAAACAGTGTAGTAATTATGTTTCTCATGTTATCAAAAGGACAGTCTGCATGTGTAATGTAGGCTCTAGCCACATATGGGCAAATATTATTACTTAAAATTAGATACAATGAAAAACTCAGTGTCCCTCAATTATAGTGTTCAGTGTCCCTCAATTATAGTGTTCAGTGGCCCCAGGTGACTAGTGGCTACTGCATAGGTCAGACTGGACATCTCCATCAATGCAGAAAGTTCATTGGATATCACTGATCTTCAAAGGTTTATGATAGTACAGAAAACAAATAGCAAGCATTGTCAGAAGCAAATGATAATGTTGAACATTTTAAGTTGTGAAATCACTTGATTCACTTCTCTGAGGAAGGCAAGGTTCATGAATGAAGAACGATCTATACCCATGTGTAGTATTATGAAGTTTGAGGCCAAAAGAAAACCTAAGAATAGTTCTAGAATTAAAATAGTTTCTTCCCTCTTTTCTAAAATACGTATTCTTTGGTTGTGAAGGGTGTTAAATAGGAATTTCACTTTAAAACAATAGCCGTTGTAATTCAAGTTCCATTTTTATAATATTTTATTTTATATAATTCTTACATTATTTTTCATTTTTGCACAATGTATGCATTTTCATTTTGGTTATATTCCCCATACAATTGCACCGCCTCCTTATTTTGACCCTAGTCCTTCCTCTCCCCGCTCCCCCCCTTCCCAGTCTGTCTCTGGTTTACAGTTGCTTGTTGATTTTGATTTTTACGCAGCAATCACAAAAGATAAACACATGCAGTTTGCAGCAACATGGATGGAGCTAGAAGAGATCATGCTCAGCGAAATAAATCAGAAAGAAAAAGAAAAATACCGGATGGTCTCACTCATAGCAGGAATTTAGAAAACCTAAATAAGGGACCAGGAAAAAGACTAATTAATACAAACTAAAAATCAAGTTCCATTTTATAGTTGTAGAAATGTTATTGATTTACTCAAATTCTTTAAACATTCAAATATGCATTGTACATCTGGTTCCTTATATTTTGAATAACTGGGGTAAATGAAAGTACTAAAGAGAGCATTATGCTAATATGTCCTTACCTGGAGGGTAAGTAAGATGCTGCTTAATGTATAGCTGGTATTCCACTTATTAGGATTGTCCAAGAAATCTATACAGGGCTGACCAGTATGTTGGTCTACTGTATTGAAATAATACAATAATGTTAACACACATAACAAAATTTTTATTTAAAACTTATGAGCATTAAAATATAAGCAAAATTAGAAAACTCATGACAAATCAGGAAAATCATTTGCAATAACAACAGTTATTATTGTGTAGTTGTTAAAGAATATAAACTTCAGGGTAAGACACACATGCATTTTAACACTTTCACTTATCAGCTATGTGACATCAAGCAATTAATTTTAGCTTTACTTTCCTAATATGTGAAATGGTGACATGATTAAAGCACCTAGCTTCATGTAAAGACTTAATGAAAGGAAGTACTTAATTATAGTGTCTGATATATAGTGAATCCTGAAAAATTGATAAATATCATTATTCATTTTTTATTTTTTAATATTTTATTTCATATAATTCTTTTTTAAAATTAATTTCTATAACTCTTAACTCATGATGATATTTTTATTTTTTTTATTTATTCATACAAGAACTGGGGTACAGGCCAGATTCACGGGAGGGTGAGAGGATTCACCAGAGACAGAGTGGGGAACAGAACGGGCAGACTGACGAAATACACTAATGAGGGGAGCAGCAGGCAAAACAGGAGAGGTCTGCTTGCCATGTGGGACCCTCGCCAGCTGGCGGGGATTGAACCGGCACTGCAGAGGCTGCGGACAGCTTCACAGCGCTGCGCCCAACCGCATGCGCCACCAGGGGAGGCCCTATTTTAAATAATTCTTACATCATTTTTCATTTTTGCACAATGTATACATTTTCATTTTGGCTATATTCCCCAAACAATTGTACCCCCCCTTATTTTGACCCTAATCCTTTCTCTCCCCACCCCCCTTCCCCAGTGTATCTCTGGTTTATAGTTGCTTGTTGATTTTTATTTTTACTTTGTATTAATTAGTCTTTTTCCTGGTCTCCTATTTAGGTTTTCTAAATTCCTGCTATGAGTGAGACCATCCGGTATTTTTCTTTTTCTTTCTGGCTTATTTCGCTGAGCATGATCCCTTCCAGCTCCATCCATGTTGCTGCAAACTGCATGTGTTTATCTTTTTTGATTGCTGAGTAATATTCCATGGTATATATGTACCACATCTTCTTGATCCAGTCATCTATTTTTGGGCATTTGGGCTGTTTCCAAAGCTTAGCTATTGTAAATAGTGCTGCTATAAACACAGGGGTGCAGGTGCCCTTTGGAATTAATGTTTCTGTGTCCTTTGGGTAAATACCTAGGAGTGGAATTGCTGGATCCTATGGAAGCTCTATCTTTAGTAGGTCGAGGAATCTCCACACAGCTCTCCATAGTGGTTGGACCAGTTTGCACTCCCACCAGCAGTGCAGGAGAGTTCCTTTTTCTCTACATCCTCACCAACATTTGTTGTTGCTAGTTTTTTTTAATATGTGCCATTCTCACTGGTGTAAGATGGTATCTCATTGTAGTTCTGATTTGCATTTCCCTGATTACAAGTGATGTTGAACATTTTTTCATATGCCCATTGGCCATTTGCATTTCCTCTTTGGATAAAGGCCATATATGACAAGCCCATTGCCAGTATCATTCTCAATGGTACAAAGCTGAAAGCATTTCCATTAAGATCTGGAACAAGACAAGGATGTCCACTCTTACCACTGTTTTTCTTTTCTTTTTTTTTTTAAAGATTTATTTATTTTTATACAAGAATTGGGGTACAGGCCAGAGATGCACGGGGGTGGGGTGAGAGGATTCACCAGAGACAGAGTGGGGAGTAGAACAGGCAGACGGACCGAAGTACACTGCTGAAGGGAGCAGCAGGCAAGACAGGAGAGATCTGTCCCACCATGTGGGTTTCTCCCTGGCCGGGGGAATCGAACTTGTGCTGCAGTGGCTGCGAATTGCTTCATAGATTGCGTCTTAACCCCTGCGCCACCAGGGAGGCCCTTACCACTGTTTTTCAATATAATAATGGAAGTCCTAGCCAGAGCAATAAGACAAGAGAAAGACATACAGAAATCCAAATAGGGAAGGAAGAAGTTAAACTATCACTATTCGCAGATGATATAATATACATAGAGAACCCTAAAAACTCCACAGAGAAACTAATTAAACTAATCAGTTTAGTAAAGTGGCAGGATACAAAATCAATAAGCAAAAATCAGTAGCCTTCCTGTACACAAACAATAAATTTGAAGAAGAAATTAAAAAACCATCCCTTTTATTATTGAAACATTATTCATAATATTTTAATGAAAGTAATGTAAATAACTTTTATAAATGGATACAAAAACTATTAATATGCTGGTATTATAAAAGGCAGGAAATGAGAAGAAAATTTTGCAAAGGTGAAAAGAGAGGTCTTTGATTTAGCATAATACATTGTATTGTAGAATCACAATAATTAGAATAGTGCAGGAGGACACAAGATTAGTCAGAATGAACAATGTAAGACAAGAATTTAGCAACAAGGCCAGTATGCTTAAAAGTGTTGCATTTTAAAAATGAAATTAGGGGGCCTCCCCGGGGGCACAGAGGGTTAAGCACAGAACTGTGAAACTGTCCACAGCCTCTGCAGTGTGGGTTCGATTCCCAGCCAGCCAGGGAGAAACCCAAATGGCGTGGCAGACCTCTCCTGTCTCGCCTGCTGCTCTCCTCAGCAGTGTTTTCAGTCCAGTTACCCATTCTGCTTCCTGCTCTGTCTCTGGTGAATTCTCTCGCCCTCCTGCACCTCTGGCCTATACCCCAGTTCTTGTATGTATAAATAAATAAATAAATAAATAAATAAATAAATAAATAAATAAATAAATAAATCTTTAAAAAAAGTGAAATTAGGGCCTCCCTGGTGGTGCAAGGGTTAAAACGCAACCTAAGAAGCTAGCCACAGCCACAGCAGCACGAGTTCAATCCTTGGCCAGGGACCTACCCACTTGGTGCAGCAGACCTCTCCTGACTCGCCCACTGCTCCCCTCAACAGTGTGTTTCAGTCAATCTGCCTGTTCTTCTCCCCACTCTGTCTCTGGTGAATCCTCTCATCCCCTACATCTCTGGCCTGTACCCCAGTTCTTATATGCATAAATAAATAAATCTTTAAAAAAAAGTGAAATTACAACTCAGTGGTAAAAGATTATCAACAAGCTATATAAAAACTGTTGTGCAACTGAGTCATAGTCATTTACTACTATCTACTCTTCCTTTTGTTTACTTCTTCTTGTAACAAGAATAACTATGCTGGCACCATTCCCATCCCCACCAACTCTGTGCAGTTTTAGATGAATATATGGTGTCCAGACTATTTTCCCCAACCTCTCCTCTAATGAGATATGGCCACATGACTAAGTTCTAATCATGGGATATCAACAGAAATGTGCAACACCTGTACCATATTTTCTTAATTCTCTTTCCTCCTTCCCATTGGTGACAGTGTGAATGCTAGATTCAGAAATGGAATCCACAGGTTGAGGATGCCAGTTTTGTCTGCTATATACAGACTGGAAAGATATACAGAATCTGGGTCTATACCCTGACATAGTTAATTAATTCAATATTTTTAATTTTTAACTCTATGGTATGAAATAAGACTATGGGTGCCTTGGTGGGAGGTGTGGTGTGGTAACACATATGAGTAGGCATGAACCTATACCTTTGAATCATATACAGTGCTGTACACCATTGTTACCTCAAAAAACTAGGGGAACAATAAATAAAATAAAGATGAAAAAATAAAACTATAGAAATACTATGAGGATGTTAAAATGATTTGATTATATTTGGGGGGAATGATAATTCAAAAATTTGAAAGGACAAAATTAATAGACATGACTACATAAATCCCAAATGTAAAAATAAAATCCAAAATTTAAAATTTAATGACAAATGAAGGGGATAACAATGATAACATTGTTAATAAGTCTGACAATTCAGGGCCTCCTCGGTGGTGCAGTGGTTGAGCGCTGGGTTGTGAAGCTGCCCGCAGCCTCTGCAGCACTGGTTTGATCCCCGGCCACCAGATGAGGGTCCCACATGGCGTTTAGACCTCTCCTGCCACCAGCTGCTCCCCTTGGCAGTGTATTTTGTCGGTCAGCCTGTTCTGTTCCCCACTCTGGCTCTGGTGAATTCTCTCACCCTCCCGCGCTTCTGACTGTACCCAGTGCTTATACAAAAAAAAAAAAAAAAAAAAGTCTGACAATTCACAAAACTAAGAAATTCAATCAATAGACTGAAAAAGTGCTAACTTACCTGCATTCAAACTGCTTATTAAAGTAGAAGATTATCAAAGCAGCAAAAAAAAAAAAAAAAAAAAAAAAAATCTACAAAGTTTCAATGCTCAGAATTGGAGAGTGCTAAAAGGAGAACCTTATACATGCTTCCTGGTAGGAGTATAAATACCATGACTGAGGGGCAACTTGGCTTCATGTATCTGAAGGGATAGACACTTACATAGTCATCTTCTGGAGTATGGGCACTGATCAATAGCAGTCCACTCCTCCCAAGTTCATATATAACAAAACAGACCAAGGTGTTGATAGATGAACTTAAAAAAATTCAACTTAAGACTGTAATGGAGAATGCACTTGAACAACACCTTTAATTGGGTTCTACACAAGTCCTAAGGATGGTTGAAGAGAGTGTTGAGAAACTTCTGAGTCACACATGCTCAGTTTCTTCTCCCATCTCCCCAAATGAAATAAGCCATTCCCATTGGGAGGGGAGAGAGAAGGAAAAAGAGCACTAGTGAGTTTTCTCATACTTGTCCTAGAGACCAAGTTCTAGCTACTCTACAGAAAGGAAAGGGATGAGGAACAGGGAATAAGAATAACCCCCACCTGTTATGTGGCTGTGTTAATTCAGTAATACCTCTCCTGCTTGTTTTAAGCATATAAATGGCAAATGTGGGCCTCCCCAATGGCGCAGCGGTTGGGCGCTGGGATGCGAGGCTGCCCGCAGCCTCTGCAGCACCAGTTCGATCCCTGGCCACCGGCGAGGGTCCCACTTGACCCACAGACCTCTCCTGCCATGCCCACTGCTCCCCTCAGCAGTGTACTTTGGTCCTTCTGCCTGTTCTGTTCCCTGCTCTGGCTCTGGTGACTCCTCTCACCCTCCCGTGCTTCTGACTGTACCCAGTGCTTGTATAAATAAATAAATCTTTAAAAACAAATGGCAAATGTACACAACTTTTCATTATAAATTTAATCTTGTCCTTTAAAAATAGGTCTTAATTACTAAATAATGTAGTTGGAAATAATAACATACTTGGAAAAAATTACATAAAGTTATATAAAGGTTAAATATGAATGCTTCGCTCTCCAATTAGAGAGCGGCAATAATTCAGTTATTGCCAGCTGGTCTATATAAACATACAGAAGTGTGTGTGTGTGTGTCTATGTATGTATGTGTGTGTATATGTGTGCATGTGTGTGTATCTATGTATGTATGTGTGTGTATGACTTTTGTTTGCTTATTATTCCCTGCTACTCCCCCTCCACCCTTGTTCCCCATGATTATTCCATTTCAATGTCAGGGGGGATTTTGTTTTTTTAAATAAATGAACTGTATTTTACATTTTGTTCCTCGAAGTGTTTCTTTCATTTACAGTAAATTGCCAACATATCTCTGGACATACTTATTTTTAAAATATCTGAGCATGAACCATATAGATTTTAGGCATATAGATTTTAGGGATACAGCAATGACCAAAAAGTCTAAAGCTTCCTTATTATATTTAAAAGCAACACATACAGCTGTAGGATGTTTTCTTAAAGACGCCCCTATTAATGGACATTGGTTTGGGTTTTTTCCCCCCTACTTTCCCTATTTCCAAAACAGCTAATGGGAAAACATCTTTATTTTTTATTTTTTTAAGTTAATTAATTAATCAATTTATTTATTTATTTATACATACAAGCACTGGGTACAGTCAGAAGTGCGGGAGGGTGAGAGAATTCACCAGAGCCAGAGTGGGGAACAGAACAGGCAGACTGACGAAATACACTGCTGAAGGGAGCAGAGGGCAGGCGGGGCAGGAGAGGTCTGTCGCACCATGTGGGACCCTCACCAGCGGCCTGGGATCGAAATGGCGCTGCAGAGGCTACAGGCAGCCTCGCAGCCCAGCGCTCAACCGGTGTGCCACCAGGGGAGGCCCGGGAAAACATCTTTAAATATTAAACATATTCTTGTACATTTATGCAAGTATTTCTATGAAATAATTTATAAACATGGTATAAATTACATACAAAATAATTTATAAACAGGAATTTAGGGCTATTTGCATTTTATATCTGATTAGAAACTGTCAAGTTGCTTCCCAAAAAGGTCACACAAAGGTCCCCATTATGTCAGTGAAACCATGTTTGTCCACCTCCACTAAAATTGGATGCTATTTTTGAAAATTTGTAAACATAAGTGATGAATCACATTTTTGGCTTTAATATGCATTTATTTTCTTAGTAATTGAGGTTGCACATTTTTGTTAACTTGTTACGTTTCTTCTATCAAGTGTTTATAGTCTTTGCCATTTTTCTATAGTTTTATTTTTTTTTTATTGGTTCACAATGCTCTTCATATGTTATGGATATTATGTTTCTTACATTATAATTATCTTCCTCAGTTTGCAAAAGCAAATGTATATTATATCTTTTAATAATGTCATTGGCTATAGAGAAGTTATAAAAAGCTTATGAAGTTTAATGTGTCATGTTTTTCTCATGATTTTATCACATTTAGAAAGGTCTACCTCATCAAGCCCATAAAAATTCTACTGTTTTTTTTTCTGTTTATCATTTAAAATTTTTAGAGTTTTTTCATCCATCAGAAATTCACATTATGTATAGCTAAACTGATATAACAATTTAACCTGTTTTCTAAAATATTAATTCATTGATACATCATTCCTTAATTTAAAAAAAGAGTACAACTAAAATAACGAATAACACGGGAATGGTTAAATTTATGGTTCAGTCATTAAAAGTGATCTTTTGAAAAATGCTTAATAAATGCAGACATATGTAACTTAAATAAAAAAACTATAATAGATGCAAAACTTTATATGTAATATCTCAGCTACATAGAAAAAATATCTACATAGAAAAAAACTAAATAAACTTGGTAGTTTCTCTTTGAATTAGGAGTTTGAGTGATCATTTTTATACCTTTTTATATTCCCCAGTAGGAATTTATAATTATAACAAAGTTGTGAAAAACAAACATTATTAAACACTAAGAATGAATAAGGATAATAGGACCAGAGTCCTCAGTGATTAAAATTTCATTTGGTCCTTACCATTGGGATGAAAAGGAATTGTTTTAAATTTCACAAATGGTGGAGCCAAGTTGTACTTCAATGTAAAATTTATTTTCAGCTGGAAGAATAATCCTATGATATAGAAAGAAACAATTTTATTCAAGTGTCAAGTTGTTCTGATTAACTCTAACCTGATTAATCCTCAAGTTTCTTCCTACAGTTTAGTCTTCCCAACTTTTCTAGTTTCATTTATGAATAAATTGGATGAGAGGGTACACACACTCCTCTAAGTAATATAATGGAGTCCTCATTATCTACTCCCACTGAGTTTACAGCCTGTATCCCAACAGTCCATTTCATACACTTACTCCTTCATCCTAACACCTGCCCCCTTCACTGTGTAGCTCACTGGAACTCACTGTTCCATACCCTGTCTTGTCTATAAGCCTTTGTAATGCTGATTACTCTGCCTGAATTTCTTTCCCCTTTTCTAAACCTGGAAAACTTCTATGCATTCTTCAGGACTCGACCCAAACTCAAAAGCCATTCCTAACTCTCCAAAGCAATTTTTTTTTTTAAAAAAGATTTATTTATTTATACAAGAACTGGGGTCAGAGGCATGGGAGGGTGAGAGAATTCACCAAGACAAAGTGGGGAGCAGAACAGGTAGACTGACCAAAGACATTGCTGAGGGGAGCAGCGGGAGAGAGATGAGAGGTCTGCCATGTCACGTGGGTTTCTCCCTGTGTGGCCGGGAATGGAACCAGCACTGTAGAGACTGGACAGTTTCACAGCGCTGCGCTCCACCCACTGCACCACCGGGGAAGCCCTCCAAAGCAAATTTAACTAATCACTGTCTCCTCGGTGTTTTGTTAAAAATACATAATATCGTCTGCAAATAGTGTTAGTTTTACTTCTTTCCCTGTCTGGATTCCTTGTATGTCTTTCTCTTGTCTTAGTGTCCTGGCTAGGACCTCCAGTATTATATTGAAGAGCAGTGGTGAGAGTGGACAACCTTTTCTTGTTCCTGATCTTAAAGGAAAGACCTTCAGCTTTTCGCCGTTGAGAATAATGTTGGCAGTGGGTTTGTCGTATATGGCTTTTATCACATTAACGTATGTTCCTTCTATCCTGAGAATTTCAAGGGCCTTCATCATAAATGGATGTTGGACTTTGTCAAATGCTTTCTCAGCATCTATTGATATGATCATATGGTTTTTATTTTTCTTCTTGTTGATGTGTTGGATTACGCTGATTGATTTTCCTATGTTGAACCATCCTCGTGCCCTTTGGATGAATCCCACTTGATTGTGGTGTATTATCACTTTGATGCATTGTTGGATTCTGTTGGCAAGGATTTTGTTGAGGATTTCTGCATAAATGTTCATTAGAGGGATTGGCCTGTAAACACCGGGGATTACATCAAACTGAAAAGCTTCTGCACAGCAAAAGAGACATTAACCAAAACAGAGAGACACCCCACTGATTGAGAAAAAATCTTTGCACCCTAGTCAACTGATAAGGGACTGATCACAAAGATATACAAAGAACTCACCTCACATGACTCAACAAAAATAAAATAAACAATTCAGTCAAGAAATGGGCAGAAAAACTTAAAAGAAATTTCTCCAAAGAGGAAATGCAAATGGCCAACAGGCATATGAAAAAATGTTCAACATCCCTTATCATCAGGGAAATGCAAATTAAAACCACATTGAGATAACCCCTTATACCAGTAAGAACGACACATATCAAAAAAACAAGCAACAACAAATGTTTGCGAGGATGTGGTAAAAAAAAAGAACTCTCCTACATTGCTGGTGGGAGTGCAAACTGGTCCAACCACCATGGGAAGCTGTCTGGAGGTTCCTCAGTCTACTAAAAATGAAGCTACCATATGACCCGGCAATTCTACTCCTAGGGATCTACCCAAAGGACACAAAAACATTGATTCAAAAGAACACCTGTATACCCATGTTTACTGCAGCACTATTTACAATAGGTAAAACCTGGAAACAACCCAAATGCCCCAAAATAGATGACTAGATCAAGAAGATGTGATATATATACACAATGGAGTATTATTCAGCAATCAAAAAAGATAAACTCATGCCATTCGCAGCAACGTGGATGGAGCTAGAAGGAATTATGCTCAGTGAAATAAGCCAGGAGGAAAAAGAAAAATATTGGATGGTCTCACTTAGAGCAGGAATATAGGGGAACCAAATAAGACATCAGTGTAAAAAAAATAATAACAGTACAAAACACAACGAAGCAAAAACAGACAATTATAAACCAGAGACATCCTGCAGGGGAGGAGGAGGGAGAGGGATCAGAAGGAGGGAGGGAGGAGCACAGGGGACTGAGGTGATGGTGCACGGGTGCCTTGGGGAAGGAAACTCTATGGGGACTACACTTGAGGGGTTGGGGGGAAGCAACTATTGTTTAAAAATGAACAATGATGTTAAAAAATAAAATTAATATAAAAATACATAATAGCACATATTCTTTATTTTAATTATCACTTACATGGCTTCCCCCTCTCCTCACTCAACAAACTTATCTCATTAACCCATAATCGGAAAAGAGAATGATCACTAAAATGTATAGTGACCCAGTCTTCCTGAGAATTTGATTTATGGAAATTTGTGGGGAAATCATAGAGGAAAAAAATTAAATATAATTGTAGGATTTTGATGTCAATAGGAATTTTGACATCCATTCTATAATTTCATGAAAGACTTTTAGATGGTATTTTCAATTAATATTATTTATTGTGTCTACTTCTTAAAAATGTAGTAACCTTAATGTTTAGCATAAAGAAAAATTAAGTCCTAAAATGTCCATTTATGTTGATAAATGACAAAAAAATTAAGCCATATAATTTTAAAAAATGCCATGCAAAGACTTTCAGAAGCCTAGAAAATTTATATGATATAACCTTATACGTAAAAAAAAAAAAACTACAAATGGTATAACTTTTGAAAAAGTTATTGGTTTTGAAAACACAAACCTTGCCAGATTGTATCCTGCAGACCTTCAATAACAGCTTCCCACTCCAGCAAGTCTTCACTCACAGGAAAGGCACTAATACCCTTTAATTAAAAAAAAAAAACAAACCAGAAACAAAGATTAAATAAGTCAAAAATTTCTTTCATCAATTAAATCAAAGATTTGAAATTCAAAAATAAGGTTACAATGAATTCTAAAACCTCTACATTTTCTTTTTCTGATAAGTAATTGATTGGGGGGAAGGGCTATATATTGTCTCATTTCACAAAAGGTAAATTCTAGGAAACACATGCAATAATAAATCTAAAATAAATGATAGGCATTGAAATCACCAGTGGGACTAAGGATCAAGGTTGGGATGTGTGATTTAGGGAAGTCAATTTAAGATTCAAATTAGAAAAGAAGGAAATAAGTTGGAAAGCATGTGACCTTCCAAGCTTTTAAAAACCTTATGGATGTCTTCTTTGAAGACAAGATGCAAACAAACAAACAAAATAAACTTTAAAACACAATTCCAAAATTATTTTTGGAAACAAGAAAAAATTTGTCCTAAACCATGGGGTCCCAACAAAGGGACAAGAATGTATTTCATAGTGCCTCCCCTGGTGGCGCAGCAATTGAGCACTGGGCTGCAAAGCTGCCTGCAGCCTCTGCAGTGCCGGTTCAATCCCCGGCCGCCCGGGTGAGGGTCACACATGGCGTGACAGACCTCTCCTGCCACGCCCACTGCTCCCCTCAGCAGTGTATTTCGGTCCATCTGCCTTTTCTGTTCCCCACTCTGGCTCTGGTGAATTCTCTCACCCTCCCGCACTTCTGACTATCCAGTGCTTGTATAAATAAATAAATCTTTAAAAAAAAAAAAGAATGTATTTCATAGAAAACCGATCAATTATGCTGAAGCATACACTTAAATATGCTCCATATTTCTGAGCAACCACATAGTTATTATACTTGCTAGTTTGGAGAAACATTAAATCTGTTATCTACATTTTCTGTATTTACATGCAAATTGAATTCTTGTTCAACAGCTTTTCAAAGTTTAGGTAGAGCAGAAACACCAAATGTTAGGTTTGTGCATCTGGAAGGTCTGTTGTTGGTTCCAGTAATTATTCCTGGAACAACATCTCCAATGAAGGCAATACTTTTTTACAGCAGGGGTAGAAACAGAACAATGCCACTGAATTACATCTGAAGCAACCCTCCCTCTACAGCTTTATTCCTATTCTCTTCCCAAAGGATTCCCTTGCCCACAACACCTGCCTCCATTTTTAATTTTCATACTATATATGATAATCCAGCCTGTGACCGCCCCCCATGAACATTAACAACCTCACTGATGGCGGCATTCCAAGCAAAACCTTCCCCTGTGTTAAAATGGTCAAGGATGGGCATTTATGTGTGCGTGACAGCAGTTGGCAAATAGTTCAGTAGATGAGCCTCCCTGGTGGTGCAGGGGTTAAAGACAGCGCTATCAAGCTATGGCCAGCCACTGCAGCAGGAGTTCGATGCCCTGCCAGGGAGCTACCTACATGGTGCAGCAGACCTCTCCTGTCTTCCCAGCTCTTCCCCTCAGCAGTGTATTTCAGTCAGTCTGCCTGTTCTGCTTCCCACTCTCTCTGGTGAATCCTCTCACCCCTCCCACCTCTGGCCTACACCCCAGTTCTTGTATGTATGTATAAATCTTAAAAAAAAGTTCAGTAGAATATAAGACTTAAGAGAAAGGGGTTTTGAGTCTAAGGGCCAAATAGTTGCCTAAACTCTCTGAGGCTTAGATTTCTGGTAGGTAAAACAAAGACTGCAACCCTGCACCTACCCTTCACTTACTACCTGAGGGACCCTGATATTCAAGGCCTAAATCCACATAAATAGGGCGGTAGAGTGCACTCAATACCGTTAACTAATATTATTAAGAAGTGATATTAGTTATTATGATGAAATAGATGAAGTGAAAGAGATTCATTAAAAGACAATGCTGTGGGGGCAAGTTAGGTTGAGCTAAACTTCGCCTTACAGAATAAGCACGGATTAAAGGGCTTTTTAAAAATTCATACCCCGATGTAACACAGCCCTCCAAAGCCCCAGCACTCACTTTGTAATTGTTCTTCTTCAGCTTTCGGTTCTCTCTCTCCAGCAGAAGGTAAGCTCTGCTGGACATGATAAGGCGGTAAAGGGTCTGTCACGGGGTCCGCACTCCTGGGGGGCTACTCTGAGGCAGGTTTTCTGGGGTTCCGGCTCAAGCTCCCACACCTAGTTAGCGGACGAAGTGGCTTGCTTTTCAGCACTCTAGAACGCTGTGAGCGCCTCAGAGAAATTGGCTTCTAAGTCAGGCACGTAACAGTGGCTTTCCCGTCTCCTCTGCCTCCTCAAAACCACGATTTCCAGAGGGATTTGCGCCCGCGGCCTGTCTCTGCTGTGCCAGCCCACGCCCTGGTCTCAAGGCAAATTTGAAAGGAGCACCTGGGACGGGCATGTGGCTGCCACGTGAGGTGGGCGTGAGGGCTGTGCGTGCAAGGCCGTGGCAGCTGGTCGTGGTTGCAGCCTCGCAGGTGTAACTGGGCGGCCTCAGCCAGGGAGGCAAACAGGTTGCCTCCAAGCAGGCCCAGGGAGGGAGGTGGGGGGGAGCTTGGCCTCCAGTCAGCCAATCAGAGACAAAGGCTCTGTACACCCTCGCTGCCAATCATCAGCTGCTTTGCTTTGAAAAGCCAATGAGATCCGTTGTCAAGAGAACGACCCACCACCGCCCCACCACCAGCAGCAGCAGCTGCCTCAACTGAGCATAGCTCACCAAAAAAAAAAAAAAAAAAAAAAAACGCTTTCCAACCAGTTAGTGTAGAGGGCTTGGAGTCAATTCCCAGGATCCTGGGTGTAAGTCACAGCAAAAAATGTAAGGACAGGGCACAAAATATAAGGGCACAACAAAGGAGTGTTGTGTCCCAGTATAAAGCACGCTGATGTTTTATTAGCCTATAAAGTTTTAAAGTTACTTAGCTGCCCTGTCCTTATATTTTGTCCTGTCCTTTTATTTGCAGTGCTCCGAAATGATTTTTTTTTCTTTAAATGAGAATCAGGTAGCACAGGTCTGCGCTTATTAATACCTGAAGTTACATGGCATGTTACCATTCACAATACGTTCACAGACGTATTATTATGTCATTGAATCCTACAGTTACCCTGGGAGTATGCAAGTGGAACGGGGAGCTATTTGAAATCTCGAAGATTCTGAACTCTTACCGCAGTTTTGCACCTACAGTTCCTTCTATCTAGACATTTACCACATGCCCTCTGTAAAGACAGGACTGGACCAGCGCAGGTTTTCTGATCCAGCAGACCAGGTAAAGGAGGAATCAGAGTCCTTAGTGGGTTTTTGCAGGTCTTTTATTGGGGTTCACCAGGCATATGGCAGGCAGGGGTGCTGAGGGGCTGGGAGGCTGGCCGTCCTCCCAACCCCCAGCTAATCCTCACTCTGTCTGGGCTCTCTGGTGTTCTCTGCTTCTTCTGCTTCTGCTTCTCTGCTTCTCTCTCGGCTTCTCTTTTGGCTTCTGCTGCTGCTGGTGTCCCCGTGACGCCGCCCTTAAAAGCACAGTCTTTGCCCAGGTGAATCCCATCCACCTATGCCCACACCCTATTCCAGGTGCCCGCCATCAGGCATGCATTCAGGACCGCAAGGATCCATGATCTATCCTGATGGCGGGAGGGCAGAAAAGCCTGACATTTTTCCTTACCTTACACCCTCCCACAGTTTTACTTTCACTCATTCTTCAGATTTAATTTTACCTTTCACTCCTTATGGGATCCCCTAAGACAAGATTAGGTCCCTCTCTGTTGTGACCACATATTTCCCTTCCTATTACCAGTCATCCAACAGTATCACAATCGCCCATTGTCTTCTCCAGCAGACTGAAACTACTTACAGTGGGTAATTTGCCAACCTCAGCAATAGAAACTGGCATTCTTGTTCAGAGGGTTGCTATTTTCTTTCTTTGTTATTTATGTGCTAATTTTATAGAATGGGAGTCAGTTCAATCCATTCATTCATTTATTCATTTATATTAATTAAGCAATACAGTACATGCTGTGGAATGACTCCAAGTAAGTGACTTATCTTTATGGCTCAGTATACAATAAATAAGAATGCAAAACAAACTTATAATTTCACTTCATGTTAAGTGCTATGTAGACAATGGAAGTTAAGGGTTAAGAACGCAAGAATAAGTAAATGGATCACAGTTGTCATCACTGGCTGACAATTGTTGGTGTTTTAAACATTAGCTTACCTCCTGTGTGGAAGAGAGGTGGGTTTTGGCTACTGAGGTTTCCTGAGCTAATGACGGGAACCCGGGCTTAGGTGAGGAATAGGAGTGAGGGTGTTTGTACATGTGCCTGTGTGTCTAGCATCTAGCATGTGTGCGACAACTAGCTAAGTTTGCTTTCTACAGTTAAAAGCAACAGGAACTGGAGACGAATAGCATCAAATGTTCAGATGTCTGGGCCACTTGAAATTGGAAACTTAAAATTAGAGGACTTTCTAAAAATATTTTTCTCTTTATGGACTCACTTTCCATTTATGATAACAAATGTCAGTTTTAATATATTTATCTTAATATAACCTTATGCATAGTGTATATATATATAAAACTTTAATGTATAATTTTAATATAACTTGATAACATCAATGTTCTGTCTGTGTCACATCTCATTCCTAAACCATATCATCTGCCTATTCATCAGACTTATTGTCTGATGAACTCCCATTCCTCACCTAAGCCCCAGTTTGGTTTTTAATAAACCAACACAATCAGGAAAATAAACCCCCATATGTAGTCTTTCCACTATTTTTTGTTTGTAAGTCTGGTGGTAAATGGCATGTGATCTTAAGACAAATGAGTGTTGTGTCCCAGCATAAAGCACACTGATGTTTTATTAGCCTATGTAGTCTTAAAGTTAATTAGCTGCCCTGTCCTTATATTTTGTCATCATGTTACAGTAACATGCAGCCAATAGTAATACCTATCTCTCCAGATCATTGTGAGGATGAAAAGAAGTTATACACTCAGTTACTGGCTGACATAGAATAAGTGATAATAATCAACAGCTGCACTTACCATGTATTGGGCACACTGTACCCTGGTTGGCCTGTACCCTGGTTCTTGTCCAAATAAATAAATAAATATTAAAAAAAACCAAGTGTATGAAACAAGTACTTTTATGATTCTACTTATTCAGATGAGGGAAAATGAAGCCTAGAGACACTAGATAATTTGCCCTAGGTCACAAAGCTGGAAGGTAAAACCCAGATTATCTAGCTCCAAAGTCCATGCTTTTAACCACCCCTCACCACCCATCCCAGTGAACAAGTGTTCTGCTATATGACAAATCTTGAGCATTCTTGACTGATTGTTGGCTATCTATCAGTGGCAATTATTTACTGAGTACTTTAAAATGGGAAGCAATCATATTTATCTGAAGAGTTTTCTCTTTAATCATGATGATGATGGGATTCAATTCTATTTTCTATTTAAGTCACTCCTGATGATGATTTTGAAGAAATTAAAAAAAAAAACTGAAATCTAAAAAGAAAACTTACTAGCAAATATTTGTTTTTATACTTTTCTTGTCTTTATAATTGTTTCATTACAATTCTATAATTGTTCCATAATTGTTTCATTACAATTTCATTACATTACAATTGTCTTTATAATTATTTCATTACAAGTGAAGAGTAGGTTGAAATAAATCCTGCTACGTGCTGTTTTGGGCATTCTCCCACGGCCTTTTATTCTAAAAATAGGTCTATGGGATCGAAAAGAGAAATGTTGCATTATATTTTTTTATGGTAGAGAAAATGCAAAAGTGACCTCCAAGATCTCCATCCCATGCATAAACCTGTGAATATGATGGATTCTCCTTTTGTGATTACATTGTACGGCACATTTGACTTTAAGAAAGAGGGATGATCCTAAGTGAGCCTGACCTAACCAGGTGAGTTCTTAAGTGATACTGGATTCTTTCTGAAGAGATTCAAGATATTGCATGTGAAGGAGATTCTTTTTTGCCTCTTTGAAAATGGAAAGGGCTTTGTGGCAAGGAATGTGGGCAGCTTTTAGGAATTGAGTGTGCATGCTGGCTGATAGCCAGCACAAGAATCAGAACTTCAGTCCTGCAACTATAAGCAACTGAATTTTGCCACAGCCACATGAACCTGGAAATGGACCTGAATTTCACTTTAGAACACAATCTTGAGCAGAGAATTCAATCATACCGTGTCCAGATCTGTCTGGAAACAAATGGATATTATTTTAAGTTATTTTAATATATTATTTTAATATATTAAGCAATAAATAACTAATACAACTTCTGATGTAGAGTGCACAGCTACTAGCCAAGACAAGTTATATAGCTAAAGGTCAATCATTACTGAGTAGAGTTTACCCTAATTTACTGTGCAAAGAAATTGAAGCAGACATTAACATATATTTTCATGTCATTTAGTCAGGGTTAGGAGATAAGATGGGTATGGGATCTTGAAAAAGGAATACTGAACCAATGCTTATGGACAAATTTTCAGCATTCCAGTTGAGCAGGGCAACTGACAGTGTAATTATTTAACACTGGCAAAGTTACTGAAGCCATCTCAAGCTTTAACAATCAAGCATCCCTTCCCCCTCCTTTTTTAAAAAACAACTCTTTCCCTCAGGACTTGAACAGATGTTTTCATTTTACTTACACTGAAAGATTTTTTCTTCTCCGCCAGGAATATGTACCAGTACAAAGTGTTAACCTCATTTGGATTTGAACCCCATCTCAACAGCAAAAGAAGGCTGAGGATCGCCAAATGTCAGCTCAGCTGTGAGGAGTATTTTAAATCATATTTTGACGTATGTTACGCTGTTAACTAGAAAATGAAGTGCAGCACACATGCTTCTAGTAACTCTGGTTTCAAATCATATGATCCCTTCTTTGTCTTAAAGACCTTTTGATGTGCGTTCTCAATATTGAGTTTCTCTGCTTTTAATAATCTTATATTCTTTCCTCAATATAAATGTCATGAAAAGTTTTGAATGCTAATCTTCTAAGATCAAACAGGAAGAAAGAGGTAGGCAGCATAGTTCAGTGACTTGAATTCCTGAAATTTCTCATTTAAAATTTTTATTTTTACCAATAAGAGCCTGGGCTGGAAGAAATGTTTGGTTCACTCTTTTTTTGGAGGGAAAACTAAAGGTGGCCCCAAATTTTAGAATAATGCTAATTACAAAATCATTCAAAATCTGGTGTAAGACAACAGAGATGCAGGGGTCACTTGATCACATTTCTATCTAATTTGTGTCTACCTAACAGGAACTCAGAATTCCTATCACCATCTTTGCTTTTGCAGTGGTGACTGAGTCCAGCTTCAACTAGGACTGAAGGCTTTCTGGGACAAAGGACTTTTCATTGCTCAAACTGGGATAGTCCCTGGCACACTGGCTCAGTTGGTCCCTTTATCTAGGGCAACAAGAACCTTAAAATTGCCAAGGCAACTTGGTAGCAGCTGGTTGGAGCTTGGTATTTAAAGGAGCCCAGTTTGTTTCCTAAGGCACACGGGTGCCCAAACTCCATAATCAAAGTTATAAAATGCAATGCAAAGAATGCTGCTGGGAGGGGATATCATGGATGTCTACAATGAAGGAATGCAGTGCTTGCTTGTGCACTTTACATGTGCTGAAGTGTTTTAGGGGAATCAGGTCTCCTTTCATTTCATTCCCTGCATGGTTGAGATATATGGCATTGAATAATATCTAAGTACAACTGACTGTTAAGTGTGTGGGGGAAGGGGAAATGTTTAAAGATCATAATTATTCTAGGCTTCCTTCAAGTAAAGATCGGTTTAATATACCTAGCCATAATGCTCTCAGTTGCCCCCAGGGGTAGTTCCAGAATTTCAACATGGGAGAAGCTTTGAGGTGGCAGTTGGCTTTGAAGGGGTGTAAGGGATGACATCTGGTTTAGGGATGGCTTAGGGATGCGCTCTAAGCTGTTTTTACTTAGTGTATGTTTATTAGGGGTGGTTTGAAGGGAGATGATGGAAATTATTGAGGGGTTAAGCCCACCCCCACCTCATTGGCATCAGTACTGGTGTTCTACATTATGGCATATGCATGAATAATTAAGTAGAATAGTTCATGCTCTAAATATTTTACCACATTAGAAAATAATGCATCTCTTTCAAAAAATTGTTTAAAACACATTGAACTATGGCAATGTTATGACTTTTTTTTTTAAAAGATTTATTTATTTATTTATTTATACAAGCACTGGATACAGTCAGAAGCGCGGGAGGGTGAGAGAATTTACCAGAGTCAGAGCGGGGAGCAGAACAGGCAGACTGACGAAATACACTGCTGAGGGGAGCAGTGGGCGCGGCAGGAGAGGTCTGTCATGCCATGTGGTACTCTTGCTGCGGCTGGGGATCGAACCAGTGCTTGAACCAGTGCTCAAACCAGTGCTGCCGAGGCCACGGGCAGCTTCGCAGCCCAGCACTCCACCTCTGCACCACCAGGGGAGGCCCGATGTTATGACTTTTTGAGCACCTATTAGATGCCAGATTCTTTATATTTTTATATTCTCATTAAGTGCTCATATGAACTCTGAAAGGCAGATATTGTAGAAAGATTATAAAATTATATAGACTATATATTTTTGATACTTTGTATTAGTCTACTGCAGATTACATGAATTAGTTAATTATTTTAATGCAATTCTGTGAAGTATTTTTTCAGAAGAAATAGCAGTTTAATCACTTGACTAAATTCACATGGTTACCAAGAGTTGAAGAAGAGATTTACCCCTAGGCTGTCTGAGATCCCATGACATTTACTCTTAACATCCAAGCTACATTTAGACCATTTTCTTGGATAAGAAAATAGAGATTTGCCTTACTTACTCAAGGTCATCCGGCTCAGGTGCTGGAACAGTTGAAAAGTACATGTTGACTGCTCTTCTCTTTATCCAGTTTCCATGAAAGAAGAGGGCCTAGACTATACAGTGTTTCATATTATGTCTCAAGAATTTATAGGAGACTTCAAGGTAGCTTTTGTCATACATTTTGGGATGATCCTGAGAAGTTATACATTGCTCCTTGAACACCTCAGGGGATTAGGAGACTAAAACAGTTAAGATACACACACACACACACACACACACACACACACTTCTAATCAGCCCTTTGTGTATATGAGCCAGTTCCACATTCAGGTATTCAACCATGGTCATCATGGTTGGTTAAAACTGTGGACCCAGAATCTGGGGGAAAAATATCTGCATGTTAGCCAATTTATGCAGTTCAAGTGTCGACTATAGTTTTCAGAATCTCCCAAACATTTGTGGTAATAACTTGGTTTAACAGCTATTGTGCTAGTGCAATAGGAGGTTATCCAGGGCAGTACGTGGAACATTTTAGGGTTAAAATCTGAGCTCAGCTGAGAACACCAATTAGTGATGTGGGCCACTAATGCCGGAGAACAGGGACTCTGAGCCGTGGGTTTGCTAAACTGGTTCTGTCCACTTACGGCTTCAGCTGGTTTGGGGATTATGTTGCAGTCTCAACTGTACTTCTCCGTCCCTATAAGATTTTTACATCCCTGTGTTTGACTGTGATGGTGTAACTGCAAGTACCTCCCAGCAGGGCTGTGTACAGATCTTCCTGGACTTGTGGTGTTGCATCTAATAAATCCACCATAGGTTGAAAATATCCTAAGTTGAAAATGCATTTAATACTTAACCAAATGAACATCATAGCCATCAGAACACTTCTATTAGCCCACAGTTGGGCAAAATCATCTAATACAAAGCCTATTTTATAATAAAGTGTTGAGTACCTCATGCAATTTATTGAATAATGTGCTGAAAGTGAAAAACTGTCTATAGAGTATGGGTTGTTTACCCTCCTGATTGAATGACTGCCCGGGAGCTGTGGCTAACTGCTGCTGGCTGGCATCACAAGAAAGAATCTCTGCATATTGCTAGACAAGGAACATACCAATGTTCAAAACTTCAAGTACTGTTTCTACTGAATGCATGTAATTTTCACACCACCCTAAAGTTGAAAAGTTGTTAAACCATCATAAGTCAGGGACCATCTGTACATCCATGTCCTACAGCCAGATTTAGGCTCAGAATTTGTGTTGACTGAACAGAAGTTTTCCAAATGATTGTGTTTTAGTTCTGCCCCTTGCTCTTTTTCTTGCCTGGAAATAGCTTGTCCTTCAGAGTCTGGGAAGTGGCTGCAGCAGCAGATCCTCTTCTGCTGACATGAGTGAGAAATAAATGTTTGCTTTTGTAAGGCAAACCACTGAGATTTTGGGGTTGTTTATTGCTGCAACCCAGCTGACTGATACAAGCACTACACTCTATTTCCAGAGTCAAATAAGTCATTTTGCCTGAATATTAGTTTTAGTCTTACTAGGTTGGCTCTTAATCTATACATGCCATTAGCATGTTTCAGTTCTTTTAAGTAATTTTAATGTGGGTAGATACAAATGAAATTTTTCAAGGAATCCTATTACAGTGGGCCCAAATGATAACTACAGTCATCATTCCCACATTCAAGGACTGAAATAGTATAGGAGACTGACCTCCATCTATTTCTGATGCAATGTTCATATGCCTCTAAGGTCAGTGAGAGCTTTTGTAATTATCACAGGCTTCATGCAGCTGGTTCTGTTGTTTTGGTTATTTGAATTTGCAATGAAGAACACAGGTCCACAAAGATTGAATCAAGTTCCTCCAAAGTGAATATTCCCTAAATAATCTTTATTTCAGCCTATCAAAATATCGAGCTGTTTAAATGTGTAAGTTAGATTCCTGAATAAGAATATTTGCTGATCCTGGGCCTCCCCTGGTGGCGCAGGCGGTTGAACACTGTGCTGTGAAGCTGTCCACAGCCTCAGCGCCGGTTCGATCCCAGCCAGCTGGCGAGGGTCCCACATGGCACGGCAGACCTCTCCTGCCGCTCCTGTTGCTCTCCTCAGCAGTGTATTTCATCAGTCTGCCTGTTCTGTTCCCCGCTGTCTCTGGTGAATCCTCTCGCCCTCCTGCAAATCTGGCCTGTACCCCGGTTCTTGTATAAATAAATGAATAAATCATTAAAAAAAAGTTTTTTAAAAAAGAATATTTGCTGATCCTGTCACTTCAGTACACATACATCATGTCAGGCCTGGCCAGCCAATATTACAGAACTCATTTGTGAACAAGCAATTTATAGATACCTAGGGTTGACCAGTCATGAGTATGTCAGCAGGCCATCTTCCTGGGGTCTCTATGTTTCTAAGCCTTCCGAGACTGATTTCCCAGCAGATTATGTTGAGTGCTCTGATAGCTTGCGATGCTCTCCTTTCTTTGAGTTGACAGTATCCTAATACTCTTGGCATTTATGGTAACAAACTTCAGGTGTGGTCATATTTTGACTGCAAAAATTTTCCCTTTCAGTGTGTGTTCCCTTAATCCTTCTGTTCTTCTAACATAGCATTTCCACTTTAGCATTTGAACTATGGGTTTAGGGGACACAAAGCTCTATAAATTAATATGAGTATGAGTTTCACCTCTAGCACCTCCCTGGGCTCCCTCTTGCTGTCCTCCCTCAGAGCTCTCAGCCCCTAAAGGCAATGGGAGCATAGCCCAAGCAGAGGCGGGCTCTCAGCTGGCCAGCTGGGGCTGATGGGCTGCAGCTGGTGAGCAAGCCACAGGTAACCTCACGCAGCCAACTAGGTCACATTGTCACAGGAAGTGCAGGGGAAGGTGGGAGCCTCCACAGCTGCTTCTGCTCTGTGCTAGCTATGAGCTCGGCATTCCCCCCTCCCAAGAAAGATCAGCCTATCCTTGACCTCAACTTTCAGTTCCAACACAGGGAGAGTTCTTTCAGTTGTGTTAATCATCTGTCCAAGGAGACCAAAAAAAAAAAAAAAAAGTGCACTAAGACTGTGTTTTTTTTTTAATCTGTCCACATTAAGGAAAAATATTTTGGTTCCTCTCCAAGAATATGAGCCGTGGGCGAACTAGACAAGGAGTATATTCTTGACGAAGGCTGAATGCTGTCAGTTTTTTATCCAAGTAACAACTACAAAAAATAAAGCCAATTGTCAAATGGTTAATGTAAAAGGTTTTAGTGTTGAATTTTTGAATATGAAACACTTGATTTTTGTTAAAGGACTATGTGAACTAAAATATTACTACGTGCCTATGTATACACTACTAACAATGCCATGACCTCCCATCCCTACTGCCATGCCTTTAACTTAGGCTCTGTAATTGCTGGCATCTCAAACCTGAAATTTCTGACTCAGTACTTCAAAGCAGGGCCTGAGAATTTGTATTTCTAACCAGTTCGAAGGTCTACTGGCCTAGACTTCGAGAGATACGGGGACAGGTACTTACCTTTGAAGGTGTGTAGATAATAGAGCGCCTCCTATCAAGTTTTTTTTGTGGTTTGCAAGAGGCATCTGAGGTGGTACTGTGAGCTTGCAGATGTTGGTGATTAAGGAATTAAGGCCTCGATTACATAGTTACATGATTGGGGATGGGCGGGGGTTGGGAGGGTGTGGAGAGACAGAGAAGGAAATGGGAGTGAAGGCAGATTGAGGAATTCAAGTGAGAGGGAGAAACCCAACCTGACACTGATCTCACCGCCATGTGAAACGATTGCTTTATTGAGTTTGATCGCTGAGGTGGTGACAAGAGCTGTACCTAAAACAGATGGATAAGGCCCTGAAGGTTTTATTGTATTCCCTTCTGTATTAAATAGCAAAAATGGACAAGTTCTTTGAACTTTCATAATGATACTTATTTTCCTTGACAGTGTGTATTAATCGCCAGATGGGGAATTCTTTCTTTTGGGCAGATATGGTCATAAAGATAAGCTGTGACAATTAAATGACCACATTTATTTTATCAGTGTGGCTGGAATCTAAGTTAAACATGATATGATATACACAGCTTTTTCTTTTTTGGAGTTCTAAGACATGATTTTTGATATCTACAGTCATGTGGAAACATAGAGGCCAAAAAGGATACAACTTTTAAAACCAATTATATTCCACCTGGTTGCAAAGTAATCACACAATATTATTTGATTGAAAAATTAAAATCTTGCCACAGATAGTCTTGGAATTCTCCCCTCCACCTAAGATCACTAGCAAAAGAATGCCCACGTCTATTTAAAATCTTACTTAAAAGAAATCATTTCAGTGAAATTTTAGTAAATAGGAATTATGACTTATCTTTCCATGAAATGTCACTCATTAGGACAAATAATATGAACTTTCTCAAATCTCCATGATAGCACTATTTGGGAAATGATATTTTATGGTAAACATTTTTAATAAACAGCAGCATAAGATAATCAGTGTTTAATATCATCTCTGGTGTGTGAAATACAAATGCATATATCCTCAACATAATAGTCTTTTTGTCATTACAATTCCATGCTTGTCTACTTGAAATGCCCATAGTAACAAGTCAAACATTAAGTAATCAGTGATTAAATGCATGCAATGGAAATATGGAAAGATGACAGGGCAGGATATCTGAATATTGCCATATATACTTGAAGAAAATCTATATCAAGTTAAAAACAAACAAAAGAAAAGAGACCAGATATAAAAATGCAGAGATATATTTTCACTTCTGTGATACAAACCATAAACATAGTTTTGTGCAAAAAAAAAAAAGATCTGAAAATAAAGTCATCTTACAAATCATTAACAGTCAACAAGCAGAAGATATTTTTCAGTTTGTGAAAAAAAATACTATTTCAATACAAAAGGGACTGTGTTATGTAGAGTCACAGTGCTATTATAGAATACATTATTACAAGTGGTTTTGAAATTTAGTTTGCTCACCTTAATGACGTCAGTAATTACAAAATGTTTAAAATAAATGTTATAGTTCTTTGTAAAAAACTAAGTTGAATTTATTTTTTAACCATAGTAATGTTTTTCCAGAGTAGGTAATTTACTGGCTCATGGAATGCTCATTTCCCTTTAAGGGACTCCTAGAAAAACTCAGATTCACTGAAGTTGTGTTTACTTAAAATAATAAATATTTGTGGAAAATAGTTGATTGTCGTAGGATATAAAAATTGTGGTTTGAATCTTCAACATTAAACAGTTGCATAGCAACAAAAGGATACAAACATTCTCCTCTACCTAAAGTTAAGAAATGTAACTTTTGAATCAGCTTATTTATGTCACAAAATGTCTTTTTTTCTACCAGTTTATCTATCAATAAATCTGGATATAGCTAATTCTTTGCGTTCACAGTACATTTAAGTCCATATATGTTGTCTGAAGATTCAGTGTTTGGGAAATGGTAACACATTTTGGTGAAAATATTTCTTTGATTTACCATCCTAGTTGTAGTTTTAAAAACTGAAACATCAACATATTTCTAACTCACTTATATTCTCATCAAATATTTCCAGGAATTGCTTTATATCCTGTCAGTCTCTTTTTAAGTCTCTTTAGCTATAAAATTAAAATAAAAATGAGACTTTGAGACAGTGTCCTTAGAATAAAGGAGTTATTTTTGTAACTAGAGAAAATGCAAACATAAAATTCCTTTCTATATAGAACTTGAAACCCATTAAGAATTCTAAACTTGGCAAAAGATGGCTAGCAGGTAAATAGCGTGAGATGCACATTTGATACCTCCCGCTAACTAAGGCAAAAGTGATCCTGTTCTATTTACCAGTTTAAATAATTCAGTTCTTGGTAATCTTTTAAGTGAGAACTCAGTACTTATTAAAAAAATACTGAAATATTTCACAAAATAGAATTCATAGTCTTTGGACTCCAACTAACTCTATGAATAAATTGTTATAACTCGTGGTGCTAGAATAAAATCTGCGAGCATTTTGGATGAGAAAAAAACATGAGGGAAACGTCAGATTAACTAGATACTAGTGTTGTAGAGTTTTCTACCTCCTCAGAGTCAACTAATGATGAGGACCCTACCCATTGGACAACTCATAGGCAGAAGGTTGCAAGCATTGATATGATCGTCTGCAGACCTCCCAATCTCCAGCCTGTGAGGCTATCCCCATGGGAACCCTTGTTTCTCTCCCATGGATGCTGATTTATGTTGAGGGGCCTTTTTCCTGACTGTGCTTCCTTTGGTGCCTTTTTCCTAATGCAACAAAGTGAACTATTACCCACAATTCCAGTATCCATATCTAGCCTTCTTCGATGCCATATATTATTCCAAGCATTTGTGTAAACACACTGTAGAAAAGGCCATGATCAACAGAGGAGATCCACAAAGGCACACACTTTGCACCTTCCCAAAGGATCCCCATTGTGTAAAAGGCTTCAGGGAAATCTTATATTTGTCTTATGGCTCATTTCCAAATTTGGCCTAAAGTTTCCTCATTGATTATGAAAATCGCTTCCATACAAACATGCATAGAGTCTAAACTGAATCAATATAATTCCTGAACATCTGTCCCGAAGAAAAGACAGCAGGTAGACAAATGCTGCGGTATATACATTATGGGGAAGAGGCCAGTCATGGCGACTGGGGGTGAATACACAAAGCACCATTTGACCTTCCTTTTTGGTTTGATATTAAAATACAAGGTTCTTTTCCTCTTCACCGGTTTGCAGTTCTCAGTACTTGAAACCAGATGTACCAATCCCAATGCCATGTTATGCACCCTGATGGAGTGTAAATCACACAATGTTTTTTTTTTTTTTTTCCTGGCTGGTGTCTGCCTTGCTTGATAAGACACAGTTAAACTTCACAGAAGATACTTGTTGTAATGTCTGCTAAATGAGAACCTTACTTTAATAAAAATATTTGAATATAAATCTTTTCTACGGCTTTCTAGTTTTTCCTGTATACCACATTTACAAAAGTCATGCAATTTACAGTTCTGCAGAAATCATAGATTCGGTGTGTCCATGAATATTGGAATCTCCTAGCAAAGATGGTTGCTTTGAGTCTATTTTGTAGGGTTTTTGAGATTTGTTGCCAAAAACGGTGATACCCATTCCACCAGGATGGTTTGGAATCGACATGTGTGGTAGTAAAGGAATATTTGCTTCCTGATTGGATCCTGATGAGGGCAAGCTTGTCACATGACCAGTGCTAGTTGACCCACTGGCGCTGCTTGGGGACCGACTCTTGGGAGGCGGGCAGTGCTGAATCACTCTGGGAGGACCTGTTGGCTGATAGTGGGCAGCTGGAAATGCTGCATATCCAGGAGGTATTGGGTAGCCATTGATGGGGATGAATCGCTGGTTCTGAGGTATCGGTGGGCCAATGAAACCAGCAATCTGGCCCTGTGGTGTAATACCCTGGCTGGGGAACATATAATTAGGATATCTGGGGTTACTGAGATTACTCACGGGGCTGGCACTAAGGGAGGTTGTCTGTGTGGTGGCATTTCCTCCTGAAGGAGTAGTTGAGCTCGTGTGACTTGAGAGTCCCTCCCAGGACCGAAGTCGGACATGGATATCTTTAAATCTTGGTCTCCTGGAAGGAATCTCATTCCAGCACTCTGTCATAAGGCTATACATTCTGGGTGGGCAATCTTCAGAGCATGGTAACAGTTGTCGTTTTCTCACCATTTCGATCACTTCCTGGTTACTAAATCCATAATATGGTTGGAGTCCAAAACTGAAAATCTCCCACAAGACAACCCCAAAGGACCAGATATCTGAATCAGAAGAGAATTTGCCATACATGATGGCTTCAGGGGGCATCCAGCGAATGGGCAGCAAAGACTTACTCTGCACCCTGTAGTAATCAGCCGAATATATTTCTCTGGAAATCCCAAGGTCTGAAATCTTGACATGAAGTTGCTCTCCAATCAAAATATTTCGAGCTGCAAGGTCCTTATGGACAAAGAAGTGACTAGACAGGTAGTCCATGCCAGCTGCAATTTGAATTGCAATATGTAGAAAATCTCCATGATCCAGGCTGGATTTTACAGTCCCATCTTCATCACTGCTACAGCCAACATCAGAATGTGGGGATCGCATGATGAGGAACTCATGGAGATCCCCCTGATTCATATACTCAAAAAGCATACACACAGGCTGTTCCTGGGTGACAGCTCCTAAAAGGCAGACAATATTGGGGTGGTGTAGTTCAGCCATCAGGGAGGCTTCCTGTTGAAATTCTGTCCATTGCTGGGGGTTGTTAAAGTCTTTCAAGGTCTTTATAGCAACCAACTGGGCATGGTCCATGCCTGGGAGATAGAGATGGCCCTTATAGATTTTTCCAAATGCACATTCACCCAATTCTTCCATAAAACGTACAGCAGAAAGAGGCAGCTCTTTAGCCTTGCTCTGTATGAAAGACAGGAAAAGTGTGGTTTAAAGACATTTCTTTTTCTTTTTTTTGATATTTATTTATTCATTTACACAAGAACAGGGGTACAGGCCAGATGTGGGGGAGGGTGAAAGGATTCACCAGAGACAGAGCAGGGAACAGAATGGTCAGACTAACGAAATACACTGCTGAGGGGAGCAGCGGGCGAGGTAGGAGAGGTCTCCGTGCCATGTGGGACCCTCGCCGGCCGGCCAGGATCGAACCTGCACTGCAGAGGCTATGGACAGCTTCACAGTGCAGCACTCAACTGCCTGCGCCACCAGGGGAGGCCCTAAAGACATTTCTTAAGGTAAGACATGTTGGCATCTGAAAGGAGGAGTGGGGCATATAAAGAAACTTTCTAGACATCAGATTAAAAAAATATATATTGTAGGTTTATAAGTCTTTACATTTGCTGGCTGCCATTGCAGAAGATTCCATAGGTAACTTCTTGTCTGTAGCTCCATGCTCCTCTTAACCCCCCACCCACACCTCTGCTTCCACCCATGGTTTCTTGTTGTTTCCTAGAGTCTTATCACTCAAAGTCTGGTCCTGGGAACAGGAATATCAGCATCATGCAAAGCTTACTACAAATGCAGATTCTTGTACCAACTTCAGACCTATGAAATCAGAGCATGCAATTTAACAAGATCCCAGGGGATTTCAGTGACTGTTAGATTGTAAGATGCATTGCTGTAGACATGCTGCAGAGGATACAGCCTTGCTTTTTAGTCATGCACTTGAAGAGTATTTGGATTCAGTCCTAACCTGTCTATCCTTGCTTTTCCTCTACTTGAAAGCATCACTTTAGTTAAACAGGTCTTCATTAGACATCTCCAAACACCATGCACTTTCTCACCGAATATCATTGTTCCTCCAGTGCGCTCATGTTCTTAGGATAGTTATCCCACTAAACGTCAGAGAAACCACTACACAGTCTCCAGTCGAGGTAGGAAGTTTGGATGATGGGCTGCTCTATTTGCCTCATCCTTGCTTCCTCTGAAACACTCCCTGACCACTATGGTCTCTGCCTCTTTTGGAGTTCTGCTTTAAGACCACCTCATGCAAGAGGTCACGTGATGTCTGGTTACATGCATGGTTGGTTATATTATATGTCTGACTCAACAGCCAGACAATCCAGATTTGAACACTGCCTTCTCCACTTGGCAGCAGTGTGGTCTGCCCATTCTGGGTACAATATTTAATCACCCTCTGCCTCAATTCCTTCACCTATGTATGAAATGGGAGAATAATAACTGATGATAATTATATCTATCTCATAGAGTTGCTGTGAATTTTTAATAAGTTAACATCTTCAAGTACCAGCCTGGTGTCTGGCGCATGGTTAAGTGCTATTTAACATTTAGCTATCATCACCTTGCTTTTGTGGGTTTTTTTTTAAGGTTTATTTATTTATTTATACAAGAACTGGGGTACAGGCCAGATGCATGGGAGGGTGAGAGGATTCACCAGAGACAGAGCAGGGAACAGAACAGGCAGATGGACTGAAAGCACTGCTGAGGGGAGCAGCGGGCGAGACAGGAGCGATCTGTTGTGCCATGTGGGATTCTCACCTGCCGGCCGGGATTGAACCAACGCTGCAGAGGCTGCAGACACTTCAAAGTGCGGCGCTAACAGCCTGCGCCACCAGGGAAGGCCCTATTGTGGTTCTTTTTATGGATATATTTTGTTCTTTTAATCAGATTTCAATTTTTTGAAAGGAGGCATTGCCCTTCCCTACAGCTTTGCATGTTGAATGTTTACTGACCTTAACACAGAGAAGAGAAAGACCCAGCTCACAATGAAAATAAATATTACTGTGTTGTTGATTCTAGGTAGTGTCTATATAGTGTCTTGACTATTTTTGAAGTTCACCTCAAGTTTAGCACTTAGTCTAATTTGTTAAGGGAAAGTAATAAAATCAATATAATTTTACATCACATATGATTTAAAAAAAAAAAATCCTGGGTCTCCCCGGTGGTGCAGCAGGTTGAGAGCAGCACTGTGAAGCTGTCCACAGCCTCTGCAGCGTGGATTTGAGTCCCAGCTGGCCAGGGAGATACCCACACTATGGGTATAGCATGGTGCAGCAGACCTCTCCTGTCTTGCCCGCTGCTCCCCTCAGCAGTGTATTTTCGTCTGTCTGCCTATTCTGCTCCCCACTCTGTCTCTGGTGAATCCTCTCACCCTCCCACGCATCTGACCTATACTCCAGTTCTTATATAAAAATAAATAAAATCGGGCCTCCCCTGGTGGCACAGTGGTTGAGCGCTGGGCTGCGAAGCTGCCTACAGCCTCTGCAGCACCAGTTCGATCCCTGGCTGCCGGCAAGGTTCCGATATGGAGCAACAGACCTCTCCTGCCGCGCCCGCTGCTCCCCTCAGCAGTGTATTTCGTCGGTCTGGCTGTTCTGTTCCCCGCTCTGGCTCTGGTGAATTCTCTCACCCTCCTGCGCTTCTGACTGTTCCCAGTGCTTGTATAAATAAATAAATAAATCTTTAAAAAAAAAATAAATAAAAACAAGTTCCTTATAAATATTATCTTAATAAAAGGATTAATAAAAGAAGTTCCATTAAAAAATAAATAAAATATTTTAAAAAAATTAAGTAAAACAACTTTTTTTAAAAAAAATCCTGCACTTTAAATCCTACTACTCTGAGTATTTCAACTTAAGTTGACAATGTTGCAAATACATGTGGAATGGAAAGCTCTCTGGACAGTTTTAAAACAATAGTTTAGAAGTTAAGTAAAAGATTTCCCTAATCTACACTCTACTAATTTAGAAGCCATCATGAACTCTATTCCAGGCTGATATTTTCTAGGGCAAAATTCCCACTCACCTAATTATAAGTGTAAATAAATGCAACAAAATATCCACTTAAAAGGACAAAATGCAATTGAGAATTTTGAAACATTAATTCTTTGTAAAAATAATATTAATAATTTTAACTAGGTCTCATTTATTCACTAAAGCAGATTTTATGGAGTTTGTATCTGGAAGCATCTTATAATTTATTTCTGCTACGTAATGGTAATGCATTGTTTTAAATATTCAGTAAATGAAAGCTTATTACTCCAGCCTTATTTATTATAGCAATATTTGTAATAGAAAAAAAATTAGAAATGACCTAACTGTCCACCTAAGGGTAACTGATTAAATAAATTATGGTAAAGCTTGTAAATGAATAGTATATAGTTACAGGAACAAATGATGATGCTACTTATTGATATGGAAACATTTCCAAAATTTTACTGCTAAGTTATAAATAAAAAGCAAAAGAACAGTTAGTGCTATATACTGCTTTTGTGTGAAAGAGAAGAAAAAGAATAGATATATTCATATTTATTTATATACATATACACATAAAGAAACTCTGAAAGGACACTCAGGAAACAGCAGTGGTTACTGGAGGTAAGAACAAGGAGGAGGAGGGAGGTTCGGGGGGCATCATTTCATGTTATTTCATAATTTTACATTTTTGAATCAAGTGAATAGATTAACAATAAAAATAAATAAATAAAGAAGTATATAATCAATCATTCCATCTGGTTAATTCAGGAAATTTCCTTTGCAATCATAGCTCCATCCACTACTTTTCCTTTTGTATATTAGAGTGTGGTTCCTATAGGAGTTATGGAGTTCCTGTGGGAGAACAGGATACAGGTGATGGGAGGAGTAACCATTTGAACTAACCCTCTTTATTTCCTTGCAACATTCTGATAATTTTCCTTTTGTAGCCATAATACACCAAAGTGAATTTTTGCTGCATGATTAGGAATTTCAGCAGAACTTTTCCTAGTGATGTTAATGAATGCAATTCATGTGTCATTGAATGGCACAGTGGGTATTGCTTACTTTTTGACCTAAACAGCCTCCTCAGACTTTTGGTGATAAAGATATGACACTGAGAAATAAATTTCTTTGGAGGGGAAATAGAAATTAGGAACTAAACCCAAGGGATGTTGGAGGGATAGAACATGGAGGTAGGGCCACTGCTTGCTGGCCTCTCCCCACCTCCCCCTGCTAAAACTAACCCATAGGCAGTGTAGGCTAATTCAAACCATGTGAGTTTTGTACTCATAAAAATCTGAATTTGTATCTTGGACCTGCTGCTTTCTATTAATGATAGTTAAAACATATAGCACTTACTATGTGCCAGGCACTGTTCTAAGCACTGAACAAATATTAACTAATTTGTGTAGCACAACAACCCTGTGGGGTAGGCCCTATGTTTTAGCTCACTGACCTTGGGTGGGTTTCTCAACTTTTGGGACCTCTGTTTCCAAATTCATGAAATAATATAATATCTAGCTTCCATAGTCACAGCAGGGATCAGATGCAATAAAGTATAAAAGTAATTTTCACCTAATAAATGCTCTTTAAATCTCTATTATCCTTATTAAGGAATCCAGTAATTAAGTAGTAAATACCAATTATTTAGAACTATTTACAGCCTTAAGTAGTTCTAGACTGTCTTCTGTAGTTCCCTCCATCGTAAAAAAAAATTGTGTTAAGTTTTCTCCTGTTAAGCTTTCTCTGATCTCATGTAATTGTTAGTTTGTAACAACAATTCTTACAAAAGGTCCAAAAAAGTGGTTTTGGAGGCTGAGGGTGGGTGGGAAATTGAGTGACCAGCGAACTGCTTCTTGAGGATTCTGGGAGGTGCAGATGGAGAGAGAGGGGAGCAAGGACCCATGTGAAAGAGTGGATGGTGGCAGATGGGAAAGAAAGCATTTAGGCCAAGCTTCTGGGGAGGGAGTGGACAGAACCTTGGCACGAGCCTGATACATAGTCCCTGGGCTTCATAGGCTAAGAAGTCTGGCTACATTCCCCCACACTGAGGTAAGCAAATTAGTTCTCTTCGTCTTTGTAAGAATCCATACTCTTGCCATTTTACTGATAAAGAAAGAGGCTTAGAGAAAATATCAAGAATTTTTTAACAGAGCCAAAAGAATTTCACTTGCATGTGCAAGGCCT